AGGGGGGAGAGATTGGCATCCACACACACAATGCACCCCTTGCACACAGAAAAACACACAATGCATTACACACACACACATACACAAGCAATGCAACCCTTACACACAATGCATCCCTTACACACACAGAAACACACAATGCATTCATTACACACACTCAATGCACCCCTTACACACATTCAATGCATCCCATACATACACAGAAACACACCTTGCAGCCCTTACACATACAAACACAATTTCACACAATGCATTCCTTACACACATATCAGGACATCCCCTACACACTCCACCCCCTGTGAACAAACTCATTGGTGGAACATGAAGGTGGACCCTGGGACCCAGACCTTGAGCTGTGTAAAGGGCCCCCAAAAAATGGAGCTGCTTCCCGTTCTCCCAGAACATTGATTTTTGTGACCACAGTTACAAACCGCCTCCAGAGAGCCTGTTCTACACCAGACCAGTGGAGCCAGACTGCAGCTAGAGCCCATCATCATCCTCATCTGGTTGTAAGAAGGCAATCTAGTATATTATTCGTGGCACTAAGCTCTAATTTACCTCACATTAAAGAAACACTATTCCGTTGTTGAAAAATTTGCGCTAATTAAAAGCAGGCGAATTTAAATTAATCTGTATATTATATACAGATTGATATCTTGCACTTCTATTAAAGAATTACAATTAGAGGTACAGGATTGAGGAAGTTGGCTCCATCTAGCCCAGTCTTGGATCATCTCCAGGGTATGGTTCCATTTTGATGTTTAGTTTTTGTTCTTGATATTTTTTGTCGTTTACGATGGTTGTGAGACGACATATAATAGCATGGCCCATGCTAGGTTACTACATTTGTATATTTGTATTCATAGACCTGCTGAAAATGTGGAGAATGTGTGTAATGCATGTTCGCACTCAATAAAGTGTTGGAAAATAAACTTGTATTTAGATGCATTTTACTTTAATTACATAAGTATTTTCATAACAAACAATACATGTGCTTGGGGGGTAAGGGTTTCTTTAACTAATCTAGTGGAAGAGACTCGAGTGCTAAAATCCACGGGTTAGGGGGCGCAAATTACTTGCCTTGCCCCAGGTGCTGACAACCCACGCTACGCCACTGCATGTGCTATCAGGACTGGCGGCCATCTTGTCTCCCGAATGCAGGCAGCGGTACATGGTTGTCGACTACATGGATCTCTGAGTTGGCCACGCAAGCTTGCAAATCCCGCTGAAACTTGTACCCCTACGCGTTCGACTTCCTGACCAGCTAGGAGAACGGCATTAGGGAGTAAGAAACTACCAAACAAGGGAAGCATTCATTTCTTAAAAGCCAGGGAATGCGTTTGTCGGTGTACGCACAGGAACCCCCGAAAATCGACTGGCCAGTCTGACCAATTCTCTGGAATTGTTTCGGTCGAAACTTTGCTCGAACATAACTCTTGTTTTACCAAACCGATCTGAGTGCTTTTTGGATATGTTGTGCACTCAGTTTGGGGCTATTCGGGAATATGATTCTTATGGGGTTTCTGTACCGTTTTCATGTATTTTTGTGATATGTTAAATGTGCCAAGATGGCCATAGCTTGGTCTTTATCCTAAGACTGATAGGTCTGTAGTTAGAGTAAAACATGGATGTGTACAGTGCATGCACCAACGTTAAACTGAACAATAGATCCTCACTCCTGCCAGTGGTCAAAATCACCCAAAATAATATCTTACTGGAGGATACGTAGTCACTCCCTTCTTCAAGAATACTGTATATCACACTAAGGTTCTTGTACTTTGCATAGTACACTGATGCTTTCACTTTGTGTGGGTCGGTGTACTTCAATGGGTTGCAATGTAAAACTGATGCTGTCAGATGGGTCAGCCATGTATCATCACTGAATACCTTACCTATGCACAATATTATAACCCTTGACTGCTACATGAGTTTCGATGCATCCAGCTTGTACAGCCGTAAAACATTTACAATGAGAGGATATGACAGACAAATAAAAAGCCATTCTGAGACTTATTGCAATGACTCTGTCTTTTATGAGTGTGCGACTAGCAAAACGTCTCTTGTCTTGATTTCTTTAGTTATGCCGTTGGACACCAGCATGGTTTGGTTGGCAAGGAAGTTGCGGGCTGCAGCCTCTAACCATCCTTCTACAGATTATATTTGGGATGTATGTTGGCACTGTTCTGCAGGAGTGTTGTGGCAGGAATATTGTAGGACCTTTACTAGCCCACCACTGTGTGGTTTGTGAATGGGATGGTGGCCTGAGTTCTGAATGTTCTCCAGGTTTGGGCTGGCCACCTGTGGACTGCAGTGTCTGAGGCTCTGCAAGTACCAGACTACACAGAATATGTATGCTGATCCTTGAAGGTCTTTGTCAGTCACCATGTTTGCATGTGCAATAGTACATCACTGGTGTCTGTGGAGGAGCCAGCAAGACCATCATGTCTCACGACCAAGCGAGACAACGTCTGATTCCCAAACTGACAAACTTGATTTTGGAATCTATGTCCTTTGTCAAATTTTGTCAACTTGAGACTTTACCATAGAAGAAAGTATTTTTTTTTTTTCCATCATTGGAATTTCCAGTTAAATTTTAACCCAGTTTGTACGAGTAATTCATAAAGATTCTATCTTTGTGAAATGCTCATAGATATGTTTTTGGTATCAGAGCTACTTTAAAGGTTTACTCCAAACAAAAAACAGTATTTTTAAGAAAACACTGGTTTGTTTTAGAGTAATCGTTCCCATCTTGGTTCCCCTGGTTATTAAAAATCTTAGCTACATTGCAGAGCCAAGGCCAAGTTCTCTCCTCAGCCTAATCTCATCTGTTGCCAGACAGTATGTGGAATTCAAGTATTCCTGGTGTGAAATTAATTAATCATTGTTGATACAGACTTGACAATTTTGAAAGGTCTGATATAGGGAGAGTGAGGGGGTGTGACTGACAGGTGGGTATCTCCATGGAGCAACTAGAATCACAGACAAAGGAGTGCATGCGCGCTAGTATGACAGGCAGACGGGCAGTGCTACCCATACTCTAAGCACTGCCAAGGCACTTGTGTATAAGCACAAATTACCTGAAACTGATTAAATGTGCAGCCTGAGGGTGAATGATCATTCAACTGAGCTACACTTTTGACACCCCTCCAGACATCATGTCAGGCGATTGAGAGGATATGATCTGAGGGTCCATTGCCCTTGCACAATGCATGCAAACTTTGCCAGGCAGATTGTCTCATATTATCTGGAAAAAAATTAAAAAATTATTTTTACAAGTCTATTTGTTTAGTTTTTTTCCACATTATTAGTACATACTAAAATAAAATAAAAAATGTAAACTAATTTCTTTTAACCCATTCAGGCCAAATTACATGTCAATGCTTTCATGATAGTAAGGAATTTGCTTAATGCGGGTTCTGAAGGGGTTAAAAAATTGTGATTACAGATACTGTTCCATGTGCCTATTGACTTAAATCAGTCACAGCAGGTCTTACGTACTGTCAGTGGAAGTGGGATAAGGGTGACACTTGAAATAAATGATGGGAGGAAAGTAAAATCCAAGAGAAGGTATTTACAAGCCATTGTGTATAGCAGCAACATGATGGAATGAAAAGAGCAATTATGTAACGAACATGCAGTGAGCGTGCGACAAGTCAGCCCTTCTGCCAAAATACATATATATAAATATACATAACCATTATGGACAAGTGACTGAAATAACTTGAATGGGTTTGGAAGAGGGGTGTAAAGAGAGAAGGGGGAGGGGGGGTGGAAGATAGGCTGGCAGGATGGGGTCTCGGGGAGGGAACTCCATAGGGTCTTCTTACAAGTCTGTCCTGGGGTTTGAGTGACAGCCCAGTGTGTGTGTGTGAAACACGCCTACAAAGCTCATCTCAGCAAAAACAAAAAAACCAAAGAGGGTCTACTTTCGGAAAAGGGCTGGGGCAGGGTGCTAGTGCACAGGGTGACATCAACTTTGCCACCAGCCAATGAGAAGATTGGGTTGGGTCTCAGGTTCTGGCTACCTTATAAGCACCTCTCCAGCAAGGAGTCTCTCTGACAGCTTCTGTGAGGGGGTCTGGGGATTTAAGTTGTTCCAATCTCCTGCTAAGGACAGAGGGTAGGAGATGAGCTGTTGAGCTACGGGACAGCTTTTAAGGGTGAATCGGCTGCAAAAATCAGCTGCAGAAAGAGGGGGATCTGTCCACCAAAGGCTCTGTGTTGACCACAAGAGGTGTGGGGGGAAAAGGAAACTTTCTTAATCTTACGGACGAGTTGAGCCCTTTGCGGCAAGGGGCTGAGACGCAGGGATGGAGAACGCACATACCAAAAGCACAGAGGAATGCTTAGCCTATTTTGGAGTCAACGAAACAACGGGTCTATCTCCCGAACAGGTCAAGAAGAATTTTGACAAGTTTGGACCCAATGGTATGTTGAAAATGTCACTCTCTGTACCTTTTCCATGCGCCCTAAGTCCTTGGAGATCCTTAGTGGACGTCTCCGCTTCCCTCCAAATTAAGCCGGCTCTGGCCTCTTGGCAAAACTGATAGTAGTGTCAACGATTTCTCCCATTGTATACTGTCATTCTTATAACAGCAATTATGGCTTTTAATTACATATCAAGGATACGGACATTAATATGTTGTCATCCGACCAATACAAGAAAAGGGCTTTAAGATGTCAAACAGTGAATGATTATCAATGGAGAGCTGTAGCATATAAAATTTGATAATTATGAGAAGATGCATATTATCTGCTTGCTAGGAGATCAGCTAGGATAGATGTGATGGGGGCATTATTGACATCAATAAAATGGTACCAGCAAACAGATAAACATATTGGTGGAAAAATGGTGCTAATGTTAAATGTAATGTACTCTGTTTATGTGCTATATAATTATACAGACAGCTTTCACTCAATCGAGTGTCGAAAAGATGAGCGCAGACAGTTGCAGAGCAATGTGTTGCACTCACTTTTGGCAATCGAAGAGTTACTGAGTGTTTTTTATATTTTGTTTTTAACGTCACTTTCCCATTTTATCTGCGATATGTAAAACATGATAATATATGATTGGAAATCAGAAAGGGGTATGCAAAGTATGTGAGGGTTTTGGCAAAGTAAGAAGATGAATTAAATGTATGGATAGGGGCTGAGGGAATGTACAATACAGTACTCCTAGGTGTCTAAACCAGTACTGATACAGTTAAATTGTATTGTACAAGGCTGTTTTGAGCACCTGGCTCTGACCTGTGTTTAAAAGTCCTGATTTATCAGGTGTTAGTACTAAAAGAATAACCTTGGATGTAGTGAAATAAAAAGTGGGTGACATAAACAAGGGGTTAGGGGAAGTGATAAATGGTAGACGTAATGCAGCAGAGACAGTTGGATTGTGATATATGTTATTAATTGTTTATCATTTTTAAATTCTTGGGTGAGAAATGTATCCTTAGCTAGTATGTGAGCAAAGGTAGGTAGCAGGTAGATCTCCAGCTGTTGTGGAAATTATGTACCAGTGAATGCAATATCTCTCTCTTTGTCCCCAAGGTGTTATGGAAACTCTGGTGTTTTGTCCTCCAAGTAGTGACTCTTCATAATTTCTTATCATTAAAGACAGTAATTTAAACCCAGTTTGCACAGGCCCCACATAAACTTGGGGAGTGGAGAAAACTCAGTTCTGTCCCGCTATAGATCAACTCCCAAAATAATATGACTACAATGACAGGTGATCAAATGAAGAATCAGTGAATGAAACAGACAGTCCCACACCCAGCCAGCTCCTGGTATAGTGATATCTGGAGATGATGCAGGGATGGTTGGGTGGGGGATGTATGGATGGTCTGAGAGACAGAAGCATAGGACAGGACGTCTGCTCTGTGCTTCTTGTCACCTTGCAAGGAGATAAAGAAAGTTCAGGGTCCTCTCCAGCACTCACTTCACTGTCAGGAGGGACCTGTAACACCCCCTAATTACTGAATGCTATGTCTGGAATCCTGCTGGTGAGACACTGGCTTTTTAACAATTGACACACATAACTCCCAAGTCCAGGGAGGGTAGATTTGTGTATCTGGTTGTAAATTGCGATAAATGTCAACATATCCACAAATCCAATGGGATGGTCCAAGAAGACAGTGCCCTGGGGGTTCCCAGACCGAGCATGTTATTACTGAGTTTCTATCATTAAGTTTTACTGTTCCCTTGGGACACTGAGGGGATCTCTCTAAATGTCACATTCCATCAGCAGAAGCCACATGTCTATAAACTGTCACAATGGCCGGCATCAAATCCACAGAGCACTTTGTTCTCTGCACTGGGCCAGGACGTAAGGAGGTTTGAAAGCTATTTTTTCAACTTTTCAGGGCTGAGGATTAAGGCAAATATCTATTTTAGGCCCCTCTGAGTAATAGGGTCCTGAGTGTGATAGCCAAACTGTATGTAGATTGTAGAGTTTACCATCTATTGTTGATAGTTTTTTCAAAATATTCTTTAACAGCATTGCATTTATAAGGATGCAAAGTAATAATTATTTTATTATTTATATAGCGCCATCAGATTCCGTAGCGCTGTACAATAGATATTATGGTGCCATTTAAAATGTTTCACCCAGGGTTAGGAGGTATTAAGGAGCTATGTATAGTTAGTTTAAGTGGTACCTGAATTAAGTTGTAATGGACTGTAACTCCCATCATTCTTGGCCAGAGGAATCCCATCTAAGAGTGATGGGAATATTTCTACATCTACGAGGGTTAAGAGGTTACAATATAGCATTCCCCCTCCCAGGGGTTTATTTGTACAACGCTACAGAATATGTTGGCATAAATAATTGTAACTCTAATGAATCATGACTCTTATCTATGATGAGCCATTACATCGTGCTGCTAATCAATATTTTGAGGCTACTTCCTACATGCATCCCTTACATCATTTATAAAGAGACAGTGGGTTCTGTAATGGGGCAGGCAGAATCTGATACAGGAGCTGAAGGTCTTCTCTGGAAAAAGATTGCAATTTAGGAGACGTTGGGCTTTTGAACACACAGTGCAGATGGCCTCTGTGTTTCGAGGTCTTATTGTAAGGCCAGAACCAGGGATAATGAAGGATGATTGAAACAGCTGAGATAAAAGTACAATGGCCCATAGTAATATATAGCATTACTGTACATTAATTGCGATTTGCAGTATTGGTATATTACACCCATAGTAATATACAGCATTACTGTACATTAATTGTGATATACAGTATCAGTATATAACATCCATAGTAATATACAGCGTTACTGTACATTAATTGTGATATACAGTATCAGTATATAACATCCATAGTAATATACAGCGTTACTGTATATTAATTGTGATATACAGTATCAGTATATTACATCCATAGTAATATATAGCGTTACTGTATATTAATTGTGATATACAGTATCAGTATATTACACCCATAGTAATATACAGCGTTACTGTACATTAATTGCAATATACAGTATCAGTATATTACACCCTTAGTAATATATAGCGTTACTGTATATTAATTGTGATATACAGTGTCAATATATAACAGCATCAGTATATAACACCCATAGTAATATATAGCGTTACTGTGCATTAATTGCAATATACAGTATCAGAATATTACATCCATAGTAATATATAGCGTTACTGTATATTAATTGCAATATACAGTATCAGAATATTACATCCATAGTAATATATAGCGTTACTGTATATTAATTGCGATATACAGTATCAGTATATTACACCCATAGTAATATATAGCGTTACTGTATATTAATTGTGATATACAGTGTCAGTATATTACACCCTTAGTAATATATAGCGTTACTGTACATTAATTGTGATATACAGTATCGGTATATTACACCCTTAGTAAATTCACTGTTATCATTCTTCTATATTATAAGCTTTCCCAGTGATGTATATCGTGTCTGCGTGTTCCCAGTGATGTATATCGTGTCTGCGTGTTACCAGCGATGTATATCATGTCTGCGTATTCCCAACGATGACTAGTGTTACTGATTCATGCGCCACGACATATAGTGTTACTGTATATTCTGCACATTCCTAGTGATATCTATAGACAGGGATTATGCTAGACTGATATACTATACATACCTTGTTCCATATAAAGGGAAGATAGAGAGGTTCAGAAATACACCCAGGGCTGCACGAACATGCCTTGTAGGCAGTGCACATGGCTGGGCTGCCTGATGCCACATCCTTATACAGACAGCTCGCCGTGTCCTTCCAGGGAGTCCCTGACTGCAAAGTGCTGAGTGAGGCTTTCCATGCCGGGAGATTCCCACCAAGTGCTAAGCTCAATGTCAAACTCCATCTGACACATCTAGAGATATATTGTTACCCAGATCTAGAGATATATTCTAACTCACTTCTAGAGATATATTCTACCTCACTTCTAGAGATATATTCTAACTCACTTCTAGAGATATACTCTTAACCACGTCTAGAGATATATACTAACTCACTTCTAGAGATTCACTCTAACTCACTTCTAGAGATATATACTAAATCACTTCTAGAGATATATACTAACTCACTTCTAGAGATATACTCTTAACCACATCTAGAGATATACTCTTACACAATTCTAGAGATTCACTCTAACTCACTTCTAGAGATATATACTAACTCACTTCTAGAGATATACTCTTAACCACATCTAGAGATATACTCTTACACAATTCTAGAGATTCACTCTAACTCACTTCTAGAGATATATACTAACTCACTTCTAGAGATTCACTCTAACTCACTTCTAGAGATATATACTAAATCACTTCTAGAGATATATTCTAACTCCCTTCTAGAGATGTATTCTAACTCACTTCTAGAGATATATTCTAACTAACTTTTAGAGATATATTCTAACTCACTTCTAGATATATACTCTTAACCACATCTAGAGATATACTCTTACACAATTCTAGAGATTCACTCTAACTCACTTCTAGAGATATATACTAACTCACTTCTAGAGATTCACTCTAACTCACTTCTAGAGATATATACTAAATCACTTCTAGAGATATATTCTAACTCACTTCTAGAGATTCACTCTAACTCACTTCTAGAGATATATTCCATCTGGCCTTACCCATGCATTTAGTTAAACACTTACCCACATCTAAATAGCTATACAGACCAACATCTAGAGATCTGCCCTTTCCCAGACCTTGATATATATCCTTACCTATATCTAGATATGTACCGCGACCCTTCCCTTGATATGTTACTGAAATCTTACCACATCTTCAAATATACCTTACTTTTACCACATCTAGATATCTACACCGACCCTCATCTCCATATATACCTCTATGCACATCTATAAATATATACCCTATACATACCCTTATACAGGTTTTTTTTTTTTAAAGAGTGGAGCATTGTAAATTAGTAGGGCATTCATAACTAGTTTTAAAGATGTATAATATTTAGCATGCACAAGAGAAATGAAGATAAAGGTAAAGTAAAAGTGGTAGTAAAGGAAAGTAAAAAATAACGACGTACATAGTTACATAGATACATAGCTGAAAAGAGACTTGCGTCCATCAAATTCAGCCTTCCTCACATTTGTTTTTTGCTGTTGATCCAAAGGAAGGCATAAAAACCCAGTTTGAAGCACAATTTTGCAACAAGCTAGGAAAAAAAGTCCTTCTTGACCCCAGAATGGCAGTCAGATTTATCCTTGGATCAAGCAGTTATTACCCTACATTGAAAGATTATATCCTTGAATATTCTGTTTTTGCAAGTATGCATCTAGTAGCTGTTTGAACATCTGTATGGACTCTGATAAAACCACTTCTTCAGGCAGAGAATTCCACATCCTGATTCTTCTTACAGTAAAAAAACCTTTCCTTTGCCTTAGACGAAATCTTCTTTCTTCCAGTCTAAACGCATGGCCTCGTGTCCTATGTAAAGTCCGGTTTGTGAATAGATTTCCACACAATGGTTTGTATTGGCCCCGAATATATTTGTATAATGTTATCATATCCCCTCTCAGGCGACGTTTTTCTAAACTAAATAGGTTTAAATTTGTTAACCTTTCTTCATAGCCGATATGTTCCATTCCTTTTATTAATTTTGTAGCCCGCCTCTGCACTTTTTCTAGTGCCATAATATCCTTCTTTAGAACAGGTGCCCAAAATTGCACAGCATATTCAATATGGGGTCTTACCAGTGATTTATAAAGAGGCAAAATTATATTCTTGTCCCGAGAATGAATGCCCTTTTTCATGCATGACAATACCTTACTGGCCTTGACCACTGCTGATTGACATTGCACATTGTTGCATAGTTTGTTGTCTATAACAATTCCCAAGTCCTTTTCGTGTGTTGTTATCCCTAATTCGCTTCCATTAAGGGTATACGTTGCTTGTGTATTCTTTACGCCGAAGTGCATAACTTTGCATTTTTCAACATTAAATTTCATCTGCCATTTGAGTGCCCAGTCCCCCCAGTCTATCTAAATCCCTCTGCAGCAAAGTAATATCTTGCTCACATTGTATTATTTTACAAAGTTTTGTGTCATCTGCAAACACCGAAATATGACTTTCAATGCTGTCTTCAAGATCATTTATAAACATGTTAAATAGAAGGGGTTCCAGAACAGACCCCTGAGGGACACCACTTACCACCTCTGTCCAGCTTGAAAATTTACCATTAATGACAACTCTTTGTACTCTGTTTTTAAGCCAATGTTCTACCCAAGAACAAGCATTTTCATCCAGACCGATTTCCTTGAGTTTGAACACTAATCTATTGTGTGGAACTGTATCAAATGCATGGAACTGTATCAAATGCATGGACTTAGTCCCATCCGTGATTGTTCTCTTACTCTTGTCAATGCAATCATGTACAAACAACAAAAGTGCCTCATACCTACCTACCTGTAAAACAATACATACCTCATGCTAACTTACCCTCTCTGCTTTTACCTACCTGTAAAACAATACACACCTCTAGCTTACTTACCTTCCCCCTCTACCTACCTGTAAAACAATATATACCTCTTGCTAACTTACCTTCCCCCTCTACTTACCTGTAAAACAATACATACCTCTAGCTAACTTACCTTCCCCCTCTACTTACCTGTAAAACAATATATACCTCTCGCTAACTTACCTTCCCCCTCTACTTACCTGTAAAACAATACACACCTCTGGCTTACTTACCTTCCCCCTCTACTTACCTGTAAAACAATATATACCTCTCGCTAACTACCTTCCCCCTCTACTTACCTGTAAAACAATACATACCTCTAGCTAACTTACCTTCCCCCTCTACTTACCTGTAAAACAATATATACCTCTCGCTAACTTACCTTCCCCCTCTACTTACCTGTAAAACAATACACACCTCTGGCTTACTTACCTTCCCCCTCTACTTACCTGTAAAACAATATATACCTCTCGCTAACTTACCCTCCCCCTCTACCTACCTGTAAAACAATACATACCTCTAGCTAACTTACCCTCTCTGCTTCTACATACCTGTAAAACAATGCATACTTCTAGCTAACTTACCCTCCCCCTCTACCTACCTGTAAAGCAATATATACCTCTAGCTAACTTACCCTCTCTGCTTATACCTACCTATAAAACAATACATACCTCTAGCTAACGTACCCTCCCCGTCTAGCTACCTATAAAACAATACATACCTCTAGCTAACTTACACTCTCTGCCTCTACCTACATGTAAAACAATACATAGCTCTAGCTAACTTACCCTCTCCGCTACTACCTACCTGTAAAACAATACATACCTCTAGCTAACTTACCCTCTCCGCTACTACCTACCTGTAAAACAATACATAACTCTATCTACCGCAATACATACCTCTCTGCCTCTACCTACCTGTAAAACAATATATACCTCTACCCTCTCCGCTTCCACCTACCCGTAAAACAATACATACCTCTAGCTAACTTACCCTCTCTGCTTCCACCTACCCGTAAAACAATATATACCTCTAGCTAACTTACCCTCTCCGCTTCTACCTACCTGTAAAACAATACATACCTCTAGCTAACTTACCCTCTCCGCTTCTACCTACCTGTAAAGCAATACATACCTCTAGCTAACTTACCCTCTCCGCTTCTACCTACCTGTAAAGCAATACATACCTCTAGCTAAGTTACCTCCCCCTCTACCTACCTGTAACGCAATACATACCTCTAGCTAACTTACCCTCCCCCTCTACCTACCTGTAACGCAATACATACCTCTAGCTAACTTACCCTCTCTGCTTCGACCTACCTGTAAAGCAATACATACCTCTAGCTAACTTACCCTCTCTGCTTCGACCTACCTGTAAAGCAATGCATACCTATACCTACCTGTAAACTGCCTATGCAGGTCCATATGCAATGCTCCCCCTCTCTATAGAGATTTCTGGTTGGTAGTGAAAAAACACCATGGCTTCCTTTATAAAATATGGAGTCTCATAACAGAGAGCATGTGATGTCACAGCCAACCAAAGTCTGGGATTTGCAGGAAATGGTTCTGTGACTGCTCCCATGATGCATTGTGCCCAATATACTCAAAGAAAAGCGAAACTCAGTTAAATAAGATTTAAACTGCTGACCTAAAAACAGTAAACACACAGTCTGGGTGATTCATTAAAGAGTCATGTGCTCAAAAGTGGTGCAAAGTTTAAAAAATTGAGTCAATAACCATGGAAACCAATGGGACCAGCAAGGAAATCCCATTGAACATCACTCTAAAACTTTGCAATACTTCTTAAAACATGAAACTTTAATAAATCCCTACGGAAAAAAAATAAATAAAAAATATGCAGGTTTTCAAGTGTAATATAATAGGGGCATCGACGATGTCTAAAAGTATCTGCTGTTTAAATACTAAAATAAGATTTTGCCAGACACTTCCTGTGCTTTTTTTTTTTTTAATCCATCCGAGGATTGTTGGACTTGAAGTCGCCAACAGCTGGAGAGTTTGATTTTTTAACTTCCCTGGAGCATAACCGTGTTTATTTCAGCAGGTCAGCACATAGGGGCTCAGTTTGCTTTGAATTCTATGAAGCTAGCTGTGCCTCTCCCTGGGGCGGCAGGGTTTGCTTTGGCAGTGCTGACGTTGAAGGGCGAATGAGGGCTTCGTGTTTAGAATGTGTGTTTTGGCGGGTACCGCATAGGAAGATCCAGAGATTTATCACCGGGCGCATTCTGTTCTCTGGACCATGGCATTGACACATAATAAATGCATGACCTAAACTGGCAGCACGCTGCACATCACCAGCCCTGTGCACATCAACAGAATCATTCGGTGACATGCGTGTCTACACTGACGCAGCCAATGATTAGATACACTTTCTCTCTGTCGTATGCCGACGCTTTACGTATTTCCCTACTGTCCCTTGAAAAATATTTCCATCAGTTTCAGTCACCCCTCAAATCTGATTTCTTAAAGAAATAAAAACAAGACATCAATAATTAATGTGATTGTATAAAAAATATATATATATACTCAGTCCCCCTTGCGAGGGTTTATTCTCTAAGTAAGAATGTGAAAATTGACAGCAAGCAAAACATTCTGAAATGTCAAAATGGTTAATTTTATCAACAGTTATTTTTGGCCTAACTTTTTAAACTTTTTTTTTAAAAAAATCCAGTTTTTAATTCCTCATAATGTACCATTTAGTAGAAGCGCCCTGTGATTGATTTCAAGATCAATAGTGGTTGAAATCTTAATGAAAAGTGTGTGCGATTCCTACCTTTGATTAGCCGAAGGCTGGAGTTATATTACAAACATTGTAAGTCAGTATGTTTCCAAGGGCTCCATGGAATGGGAAGCCATGACTAAGTAGTTTCACACTCACCCACGATTGACATAAAACATGCGCTGTAGCCGAAGTGGTGCAGAGATTGGCGACATTGGATTTTGGAGAACTGAAAGGATGGAATCTGGATTAATGAATCCTGTTTCATCAGCTTTGCATGATATGAGAAGAGCACGGAGGGATATGACCAGTCTCATCATCCTGTTTTAGTTTTCCCTGATTTTCAACTTCTGGAGATATCAACGAGCTCCAAAAGTGCAATTTGTACAATTTGAATCTCTTACCTAGTGAAAGTGTCTCCTTTGTCACCAGAGATGTATCCCTATATTCCTGAGAGTATTCCCAGGCAAAAACCTTAGACCCAAACCCAGCTTTGTGTGAGCCCTCCCTGATAACGTGCAGTCAGATCCCCTACATTAGATATAAACCCAGCGCTGTCTGAGCCTGTCCTGATAACGTGCGGTCAGATCCCCTACATTAGATATAAACCCAGCGCTGTCTGAGCCTGTCCTGATATAACGTGCGGTCAGATCCCCTACATTAGATATAAACCCAGCGCTGTCTGAGCCTGTCCTGATAACGTGCAGTCAGATCCCCTACATTAGATATAAACCCAGCGCTGTCTGAGCCTGTCCTGATAACGTGCAGTCAGATCCCCTACATTAGATATAAACCCAGCGCTGTCTGAGCCTGTCCTGATAACGTGCAGTCAGATCCCCATTAGATCCCAGCACTGTAGATAACGTGCAGTCAGATCCCCTACATTAGATATAAACCCAGCGCTGTCCGAGCCTGTCCTGATAACGTGCGGTCAGATCCCTTACATTATCTTATCTGCACCATTTCCAGTAGAATGTTTAGATAAAATGAACATTGCCACATTATTATATGTCTATCGCTTAGTTTAATCAAGTTTTAATTCATTGTATTTATGTTGTCCACTGATTTTGTTTGTCTCTCTCTTTCCTCCCCAATTCCTCTTGGCTTCAATTGACCAGAGCTGCCAGCTGAAGAGGGTGAGTGTATTTTTAATTTCAACTTTTTTTTATGAAGACATTTCTAGAAAATGCAAATGATTAACCCTTTCCGCCTTACATATGCCGGCACTGTCTGGGTGTAAATTATAATGTGATTCATGTCGCGGCCAGGACATTTAATGCAGTGCAAATCCCTATTTATTAAACAATGATATACTATATTTAATATGTTTTGGGCAAGCTTTTCAAATGATTTAATATTTTTGGATAAACTTTGAAACATATTATATTTTTCAAAATATTCAAATATCAAAAAAATATATCTTATATAAAAATATCAATTTTTTTTTTAATGTTAAATTCTTTTAAAGGTTTTTCCAAAACTATAAAATCTAGGCTGACGTGTGTTGACAACTAACTTGCTGTATTTTGTCCAAAAAGTTGGATATTTTCATTATTATTAAAATAATTACAATATTATCACTCACTTAAAACTGTTCTAGATGTCAGCTCACCACAATTCTCCCGCAGCAAGTCAGATTATTAAACCCTTTCAGGACCAACAACATGTAAAGACTCTACCGATGACAAAGGATGTGTCTAACGTAGGTCTTGAAAGGGTTTTAAATGCTTTTTTTTTTTTTTTAAAGTGAAATGAGAGACATCAGCAACATAGTTGATAAAATATATTAATTGACATCAAGCAAACTGTAGAAAAAAAAATAGCTGAAATAAATAATTATCCAATTCAGCATTTGTAAGCCTAAAATGGCCTAAAATGTCCAAATCCTCTCTCGAGTACGCGTTCAGTGAATGAACCTTGCTGTGCTGTTTTTTGTTTTTGCATTCCATTAAAGCTGTGTTAGGATATATTTAGCATTTATATTATATTTCAATATCTCTTGTCCATTCCTCAATATAGGAAAATCCATTTGGGAACTCGTAGCCGAACAGTTTGAAGACTTGCTGGTCCGAATCTTGTTATTGGCGGCCTGTATATCATTTGTAAGTATGAATATTATACTTCTGCCTGTTTCCTGAGACAAAGTGAGCCCAAATCCCTTTGTCACTCTACTGCTACCATGTATCAGCTAAAATCTGTTTCCTTGTACATCATGGAGCGTTGGAGGTCTTACTGATACCATAGAGAAATGCGATACATGCATTCTGATCCCTCTCTATGGTTTCAAGTAGTGTGTGCCATGAACACATTGACTTCAGAGCTGCAATAAGTAACAGAGTCCTTAAGTTTGTGTTTTTATTGTTTCAGCATAAAAATTGTTATTGTTAATTATAAATAATAAGTCAGTTTAGAACTATACTCTGCATACTGCCAATAAACAAGCCAATACATCTGACATTTAGAAGCCAATGGTGAGGTCAAAATATATATGCTAAAATAGTTGGGAGCCCCTACGCTATAATATGTTCTAATAAGTTTAACATGACGGGCCCTAGACTGCCTGTGCCTGGACTGTAGAGCTCACTGATAAGACAGCCTCCCCGTTATCCAGCATTATCCTTACTCAGGCAGCCTGCACTGCTATTACACACAGTTACTGTTTATAATAGGACATAAACACTGATAGCTACTCACACACAAAAAACATACACCAAGCCTGAGATATATCTAAAGCCTATAAAGTGATTTATATATTTAAACTGATCCGGACACACACTAGGACCCACACTATGATCCCGACACACACTCAGACAGACACATTGGTCCTGGCACATACACTCATATACACATACTCTGATCCTGGCACACATACACACACACACTCTGATCCTTGCATACAAACACACTCTGATCCTGACAAACACACATTCTCATCCTGGCACACATACAGACACAGTCAGATCCTGACACACACACACACACACTGATACTGACACACACTCTAAACCTGACACACATACACACACACTCTCTGATCCTGACATACACATACAGTCTGATCCTGACACACACACACACACTCTGATCCTGACACACACACTCTGATCCTGACATACACAGACACTCTGATCCTGACACATATACACACTCTGATCCTGACACACACACATACACTCTGATCCTGACACATATGCACACACTCTGATCCTGACACACACACACACACACACACACTGACCCTGACACACATATACATACTCTGATCCACCAATACATTGATCCTGGCACTCACACACACTCAGAGATACACACACTGATCCTTGCCCTTACACGCACTCATACATATTGACCCTGGCATGCATATACATTCACACACACTTATTCTGGAGTGCACACATTTTCATGTTCACACAAGCACAATGATCCTGACACACATCACAAAGATATTTGCACACACATATCTTAATGTATACAAGATACATACATATTGTAATACACAGACATTGTGATTCACACATATTATGATACATAGACATTGTGATGCATTCGCATCACGATACATACACATTGTGATACACGCACATTGTGATATATAGACATTGTGATACACACACATTGTGATACATACACATTGTAATACACACTTTGTGATACGCACACATTTTGTTCTATAGACATTGTAATACATGCACATTGTGACACGCACACACTATATATATATATCATGATACACCATTTACCCTGTCACGCTGTCACCTCTGACACTGTTACAAAACCTGACCCTGGTACATGCATCTGATCTTGTCACACACACTGTACACACTGATCTGGGAACACACATATTTATCCCCATGACAGCCCATAAATCTTCCTCCCTGTACCCAGTCCAAGCTTGTGACTCCAATCCCCTGGAAGGGTTAAGTCAGTTCTCACCCTGACCTTTCTTTTTCCCAATGAGAGGCACATTCTGGAAGTTAAATTTGTCTTGAAGATAACTCGATCCGGCCAGTGGCCAGCTCAAGTATCAGACAGCTGCTGTGAGCCTGGAGGCCCAGAGAGAGAGAGGGAGGAAGCGGCAGGGGACACGTAGGGTGTTCCTTGCTGGCTGTGAGTGACAGCCCCGGGTGGTGTGTGCTTTCAGAGGGCAACAGCTGCGTGAAGCATGAGAGGCCCATAAAATCACAGTAAATCTACTCCTGTGTAACCCAAGAGGTGAACAGTCACACCTCCCTGCCCTGAAACATCATGGGTGTCTGCTCTGGGCAGATGGCACCTTTACGGGCTCAGGACATATAGGAGAGGGCACAATGTCTACCAAAAACTCTCTAATCTCAAACATGGTCTCAGGTATTTGGAAAGAGTAAAATCCCATTTCACACCGTACTTCCTGCAGTCCTTGCTTGTAATTATAAAGGTCACCAGTGTCCTGACACATAGATACAAATACTTTATATCCCCTTACAGATAGCAGGACTTCAACAGCTTTTACAAGCTACGAGAGTGAGGGTATACAGATTACGTATGATTTCTTGTATCGATTTTTTCTATATTGTGCGTGCAGCCCCAAGGAGGGCGAACCATGTGTACCAGGCTATGTATAAACTGATAGCAATAGCATTATGGCTTTTGCCAGTTTAAAGAGCAGCTCCAATCACCCTATGTGCTGATTGGAACTGCAGGTGGAACTCCTGCTGAAAAAGGGGTTTACAGGATAAGACCAGTTTATATAAAGCAGAATGAAATGCTCCGGATTGGAGGTCTCATTCTCGCTTTGCTGTGGAGCTGCAGACCGACCTACTGCACTGTGCGTCTCGTGGATCTTTCAATGTAAACCTTTTTTACTCAATTTTGTTCACTTTTGCATTCTATGAAAAATGTGTTAAAATAATATTGGGTCGTTTTTGACCCAGACAATTCCCCTTACGGTATTGGGTATGGTCTTTGGGACTAACCAATTTAGGGATTTACCATTATTTGCAAAGCTAGGTCCTGAATGAAGGCCGAGGTTCCCATCATAACAAAAAGCCATAGGAGAAGGCGTTGAAAGGCCTAACCCATGGCCTCTTCACTTGCTGTACATAGTGAAAGTAGAAAATCACAGTATTTGGATTGCAACCAATTTGGACAAGTACAGATATGTAACTCTCCTCTTTGTCCCGCAGGTCCTTGCCTGGTTTGAAGAGGGTGAAGAGACCGTCACAGCTTTTGTGGAGCCTTTTGTCATCCTCCTTATCCTTATCGCTAACGCAGTTGTGGGTGTCTGGCAGGTATGAAAACAGGGTGTTTCGGCCATTTTTAGAATGATTGCGGTACCAGTTGACTGCTCAGAGGTAATTTTGCCTCACTGGTCAATGGCAAGACATATGAACCAACAGTTCTAGTGATAGATTTTGGAGATAATCGTGAGATAGGGAAATAGACGTATTTTCAGGGTTATCCACTAAAATGAGAATTCAACGTGAATTGCAAATGTCAGTTCAAAATAACCAAATTGAAAAAAATGATCTAAGTTAGCTATGCTTACTCTGGCCTTAAATTTAAAATTCACTTTGAATTCTCACTTTAGTAAATATCCTGTTTATCTACGGTCAAGGTCACAGTTGGGAGACTTGGGGTAACTGCTCACAAACTGAATAGTATAAGCTGAGTAGATCTATGACTGTGAGGTACAGGGTCAAAGTTTACTCAATGATGAGTTCGCGGCAAAATTCATTTTAAATTGCCGACAATGCACGCTTTAGGGAATATGCCTGTAAGAATTATAGGACCTGAATTAGGACACATCATAGATAGTGATGTCCCGAACTGTTCGCCTAACAGTTCGCCACGAACGGTTCGCCGCAGAGTCATCATTGAGTAAACTTTGACCCTGTACCTCACAGTCAGCAGACACATTCCAGCCAATCAGCAGCAGACCCTCCCTCCCAGACTCTCCCACCTCCTGGACAGCTCACTAAGAATGCAGCTTCACAACGGATGCTGTCCAGGAGGTGGAAGGGTCTGGGAGGGAGGGTCTGCTGCTGATTGGCTGGAATGTGTCTGCTGACTGTGAGGTACAGGGTCAAAGTTTACTCAATGATGAGTCCGTGGCGAACCGTTCGGCGAACAGTTCGGGACATCACTATCTATGATGTGTCCTAATTCAGGTCCTATAATTCTTACAGGCATATTCCCTAAAGCGTGCATTGTCGGCAATTTAAACTGAATTTAAAATTTTAGACAAAAATGGAGGAAACATTCTCCAAGTCAGCTCTGATTTGAGATTGTCCACAATTTCATGAATACGCCCGTCAGTAAACTCTTTAGTAAATCTCTCCCAGGATAACACAGAGGTAGAGTGAAGAAGGGTAAAAGATCTTCTCAACAAAAGGGGTGGTAAGACCAGGAGGCCAGAACAGAACATGGCATAGATTAAGGCATCCTGTTCACAAAAGACTTCCAGTTCAAAGAACGGACTGAAACAGCACTTAAATAAAACAGTCACTTCTTCGTGAAGGGTTAATGTTGCTAAATTCTACAAGTGTGATATATTTTCTAAACAGCCAAACAGCCTTTTCTACAGTGATAAATCAATATGCAGCTTTTCATAATGTGAAATAATATATTTAATAAAAATAATTATTCCGTGGGGTTTATTCAGTAAACAGCAAATTGGAGTGAATTGGCAAATTTGTTGCAAACGTTGGGCCAAGTTTTAACTACAGAGTTGAAGAATTCATTCAAATCAGCACTTTTGCCAACATGTTTAAATTCGGTTTTCAATTCACTACAATTGGGTGTTTAGTTAATAAATCCCCTTTGTGTTGTTTGTGAAATTGGTTCATAGCTGAGGAGCCAAGGGCAATGTCAGAAAAGGCATAGGACAGTGTTACACATGGCCTGATGCAGTGTCACAAGGGGTCTAATCTAGACCAGTGTCACATAGAGGCCAGGACATCACGCAGGACCTAACGTAGTATCACAAAAGGCTATGGGGCAGTGACACATAGAGTCGAGTGCAAAGTTGCATTGGGCCAGGAGTTCGTATAACCAGTTGTTAAATATGAAAATTGCCAATTTTACTGAAAACCCTTCTCTCTATATTCCAGGAAAGAAATGCAGAAGATGCCATTGAAGCCCTTAAGGAGTATGAGCCTGAAATAGCCAAAGTTTACCGTAGTGACAGAAAATCTGTACAAAGGATCAAGGCCCGAGAGATGGTCCCGGGAGACATTGTAGAGGTGGCAGGTGAGCTACTAGCCCTTTGTGGCAATCTGGTTGTCCTATGTGCAGGGCTAGAAGCAATGAGTGGTATGCCAACCTTGTGTGTCACGCTGGTATCTGGAGAAAGAGGTATAGGTGCAGAACTGGTAGCCACGAGGGCTGAGCTGGTAGTCTTGCATAGCAGGCTGGTATAGCTGTGCGTGCCAAGCACGTAACCCTGTGTGACAAGCTGTTAGTCTTGTGTACCAGGCTAGCATTCCTGTGTGTGCCAAGCTGGTCGCCTGTATTTGAGTATAACTCAGCTTTCGATGCCATCCTTTACTTTGTTATATTGAATGTCTTACTTAATCTACCAAATAACATGTGAAGAATATTCACAAATTGCTCACAAAATGCTTTTGTCCTAATCTGGTGATCTATGTGCTAGCAACCCCCATATTATGACCTGATATCTCAAGAACTCCTTTAATTTGATAGAAAACCTAAACAGTGCTCCGTCACAAAAGGATGTCTGTTCATTAAACAGGGCTGTGGTGTAAGTTGGAGCTGGGATAACAACGCTGAAGGAGTAAATATAACTTGGAGTGTCTTCCTCACAGATCATAAACTTTGTTTCCTTTGTAACCTCAGCAAAAGCACACTCTAAAGGAATTATTTTGACAGCAATTCTTTTCTGAATAAGGTGGGCAGACTTTCTCAGTAGATATAGTGAGCGCTATAAACTAATATTATTAATATTTTATTATTGGAAAATTAGTTAATTAGACACAAAGTGCAAGTTTTAATTTGGAATCTATCTATAAATATGGCAAAGCATTATAGGACGCCTTTTTTGATAACTATTATCTCAAAGTATCCTCTACAATTTAAACTAAAATGTGTCAGAAGGGGTGAGGGATTTATCAAAGTGATCTGGAAGGCGCCCTTTATTTTTGTTTTCTTATCAGTTTGAATTTATTAAATTGTTTTAAAATAGTCTAAAGAGTGTCTGTTATCCTCTGTCTAAATGTTGCAGGTTTTTGTTTCACAGAAAAATGGCAGAAAAAAAAGGCAGATAAATTGACAAAATGATTGATAAATCTCTGTGCTGCTCATAACAAAAAAAATTATATATAAAAGTATATTGATATGCAAACACCACAAATCGCACATAGAAAGTACATAAGGTGGTCTGACATTTTGCTTAGCTCTTTCTGTACCGGTCTTTTCCCTCTAGTTGGTGACAAAGTACCAGCTGACATCCGTCTCATCAGCATTAAATCCACCACTCTGCGTATTGACCAGTCCATTCTTACCGGTAAGGAGATCTTCTGATAAATGGACCATTTATGGTCAATAATTTTTTCCTTTTTTATGTGTTCTTTGAAGTCTGACTACGAATCATGTGTTTCTCCTGCAGGAGAGTCTGTCTCTGTCATTAAACACACAGATGTTGTCCCCGACCCCAGAGCTGTCAACCAGGACAAGAAAAACATGCTTTTCTCTGTAAGTGACCTATACACAGCTACTTGTCCATCTCATCACCATTGTAAGCGCCGTCATTCCGGAACTAATGGATATCTCCCTTCTAATCTAGAAAAGTTTTATTTTAGATCCATTTTAACACTGCTAATTGCTAAGTAACTAAAAAAAACTTCAATTTTTTTTCATAAATAAATTATTCATTTTGAATGTATATTATTTTAAAGATTATGGAATAGATGGTCCTGACTTTTCATGGGAGTTGAAATTGAGTGTTCTCTTCAAGTAGCTACCAGGAGACATGGCCACTTGAGCAAACACTTTCTTATCACTAAATTACAAACATTGCAGAAAACTCTATACAATTTTCCATTACAGCTGGCAAATATATAATTTATCCAATATTACAATATTTAGCTGAAATAATTCTGTTTAACCAATAATATATATATATTATTTGTAAAAAAAAAATCACAAAATTAAAATAAAATTACAAAAACTTTCCCTTTTTTCTACAGATTTATTTTCACTAAATATGTGATTTATTAGGCTCCCTTGCAATCCTTAATTCCCCCCCCCCCTTTTTTTCTAACTCTATATCTCCATTTCTTTCTGTGTTCAGGGTACCAACATAGGAGCTGGCAAGGCCATTGGTGTCGTCATCGCCACTGGACCTAACACTGAGATTGGTAAAATCCGTGATGAGATGGCCGCCACTGAACAGGAGAAGACCCCTCTGCAGCAGAAACTGGACGAGTTTGGAGAGCAGCTGTCCAAGGTTATTTCTCTTATCTGTGTCGCTGTCTGGGCAATCAACATTGGACACTTTAACGACCCCATCCATGGTGGATCCTGGATCAAAGGAGCTGTTTACTACTTCAAAATTGCCGTTGCCTTGGCTGTAGCTGCTATTCCAGAGGGTATGTCTATTAAGCCTCAATACTTTGGCATCTAGATCAGAGTTGGAGGTACCTTAGAAATGACTAGGGGTTTTGTTTTCCGTTAACTCCTTGAGTAATGGAAGAGAAGGTGCATACATTTCCAACCTTAGAAAATCCTCTTGAATGTGATTCAATCCAACCTGGTCCCTATTGTTTAACTTAGCGTTAAAGTCTTACTGTGTTATGGCCAAAACTAAATGTTATCTAACTTCCATACAAAGGTCTGCCTGCTGTAATCACCACTTGCCTTGCTTTGGGTACAAGACGTATGGCCAAGAAGAATGCCATTGTGAGGAGCTTGCCCTCTGTTGAGACCCTAGGTTGCACATCTGTCATCTGCTCTGACAAGACTGGAACCCTGACAACCAACCAGATGTCAGTCTGCAGGGTAAGAATGTCATGATTACTGAAATTAAATTCCTAGCTTTTGAAAAAATATACCAAAAACTCACACACACCTACTGCCTTAAAATTATATAGCCCCTATACAAAACAATGGGCAGTTCATTTTCTCACCAATTCCGCACTTTGCTCTTCTACAGATGTTCGTTATGGATAAAGTTGAGGGAGATGTCTGCTCTCTGAATGAATTCACCATCACAGGATCTACCTACGCCCCCGAAGGAGAAGTGTAAGTCCACATTTGATATTGTCTTGTCCTGGACACAGTTCCCAGTATTGAAACACAAATTCCTCACTACCTGCTCACTTGGATCACCACAGAATAGGCAAAGTCTTCATAGCATCCCATTCATACTCTGATGAAAAGGTTAATAGGCCACCAGCTCTTTCTGATGCCTCACCTCCACATGCCATGATTCCATCCCAGTTTGTGCTGTAAAACCTCCTAATTTCATCTGTTTTCTCAATGAATCATTACACTGAGTCTTTATTTTCTCTCCTCCCCATACCCTGCCACACCGTTTCCTTTGTCTGATTTTGTTTCTATCATCACCCTTGTTGTCTTGTCAAATCTCTTTTCTTCTTAAATTTGTATCCTTCCTTGTTCTTTCAACCCATGATGCTTCATATCTTTTCCTATCCTAATTCTCCTCCTATGTCACCTGCCCTCTCTTCTGACATCTGCTCCCCATCATCTTTTCTTTCTTTTTGATCCTTTTCTGTTTTTCCCTGGTGCTCTCACTCCCTTTCTGTGGTGCTCCTCTCAGTTTGAAGAATGATAAACCTGTCAAGACTGGCCAATACGATGGGCTGGTGGAATTGGCCACAATCTGTGCACTTTGCAATGACTCTTCCCTCGACTTTAATGAGGTAAAAAGCTGTGGTGACTAATATTTCCATCCTCTTCACATTAATCCTGTTTTGAACATTCCACTAACCCTTGCTTGGCTGCATGTGCTAAATAATGTGAAATGTATTTTACTTTTGAGGTGTAAAACAAGATGCCATGTCAGCAGATTGCCTTTGTGTCACTGACTACCTTTTCCTGACATGGCTCATCAAGGTCCAAAGTCTATTTGACTTATTCTTATAATATTTCAACCATACAGTGCATTTAAATTATCTTGTCCAACGGAACTGTTAGATGGTGAGCTAGAAATATAAAAGCGAAGCTCACAACCTACAGCAAATTCTGATCACCTTTGGCTAGTTGACGGAAACTTCAGATAGAACCCAAAAACTATAATTTGAGGTGGAAATTCTACAATAAAATATAAAGAGACAAACTAGAAAAGTTTAAAATAGGGGATATGTGTGCATTAATACTCCAATAATGCCCTGATTTTACAGGCTACTGATATTTGATAGGAGGCACCTTTTATGAGAATATTTGTTGGGGAAAAAATATGTTACAAGTGGTCCTTGGTTAATAAAAAGTTTGAGAAGCGCAGTTGGGTCTGTTGTCTTACTGTTATAAATCAACAAGCAATGGACATATTTGACAATTTCTCTCCCACGTTTTAGTCTGAAAATGTATTTGTTCAAGTTAGAGGTTATGCATTCATATTGAAGGAATAATATATTTAATTTTATTTTGGTGGGTGGGGAGTTTAGACTTAGATGCCATTAATACCATTTTAGACGCCCCGGTGTTCAGATTTTTTTCAGAACTATAGCCCACTCCAGATATCTAACTCTGATGCAGTTTAATTCAAGTATATATTTTAAAGGGACATTATAGTCACCAGAACCACTGCAGCTTAATGTCCCTGCAGGCTTTTCAATGTAAACACAGCCTTTATAGAGTATGGCAGTGTTTATATTGCTGCCTAGTGACAGTCACTCAGACGGTGCTACTCCAGTACTGCACAGTGTGCAGCAATAGCGTTCAGTGTTTCCACACTCTGCATTGAGACGCTGAGCGTCCCCTGTACATATGCATTGCTTCTCTGAAATTGTTGATTGCCGCTGCAAGGCATTTTGCCTCACAAGCACAATAACCTTTACAATACTTTCCTACGAGAAAGCTCTGGAGTGGCTGAGATCCTCAAGATTAACTTGGCCATTGCGGCGTGGGATCGGATGGGGGAGGTCACTTCAGGACTATAGTGTCAGGAATACATGTTTTTATTCTTGACACACCATAGTGTTCCTTTAACTTTTTTCTCTTCAGAAGGTTGGGCAAAAACAACTACCTGCTTTTCATGCTGAACTTTGATTAAAGCACATAAAGAATGATAAAGAGAATAAAAGATGTATATATAGTTTACACTGTGTGGTTATTAAGCATGAAGGCCAACTCATGATGCTCGCTAATGTTCACCTATAACAATTCTTTGTGCTCAGACAGCGCTAATTGCCACCGATTGGCAGCTGATTTTGTGAAAAGATATTACTCCTGTAAAGATGTCAACTATTACTGTATTTATATATCTACATATGTATTTTTTCACCAGTCCAAAGGAGTGTTTGAGAAGGTCGGAGAGGCTACAGAGACTGCATTGACCACTCTTGTTGAGAAGATGAATGTATTTAACACCGAAGTTAGAAGCTTGTCCAAAGTAGAGCGTGCCAACGCTTGCAACTCTGTAAGTACCACGTTTTATAGTAAATGATGACTGATATTAATGTTGATTCCCAACATCCCAGCCCATTGGAACCTATACACCTCCTCCTGAGTTATATTTCAAGCCCAACAAATCCCGATGTTCCCTTTGCAGTGTACCCATTACATTCGATCCTGACCACATGGCTGCTACTGCCGTGAACACATAACCTTCTCATTCCCAGAATATTGCCCATCTAGTGACATCTAATCCCTGCTGCCTTCCAGCTACCGTTATAGAAATCTAATTATGTAACCAGCCGCCTGCAGTGCTATCAAGAACCTTACAACGCCACGCACCTGGCTTCTACATGTCATCTACAAGAAACTTAACTCCCTTACAGCTATCTACCCCTTAATGATCCCATGCATAACATACTCTCCAGAACACCTGCCATGCTTGTATTATAAACTGGTAGTTACTCCGTGTTACCAGCTGTGCTCTATGTCAGCCAGAATTAGGCATTTAAAAGGCTTCATTGTCCATTCTGAATCTGTATATATATATATATGTATATATATATATATATATTAAAAAATTCCTGTATTTGAAATGAAAAATATGGACCCTGGCAATATTTTCTTGCCGGTAAATTTCCTCTTTCTTTGGTAAGACACATAGTCAGACCAGATCCACAGGCTCAAAAACTTTCTATTTGATCTTAAATAGAAGTGTGAACAACAGGGAGATTCCAGCCTCAGAATATCTTGCCAGAGGGTGGCCCCGGTGACACTATATATAATCGGATGATTACATAAGATAACAAAATGGATACATTTCATTAAATATACATTTTTGCTAATTCAAACTAATTTATTGCTAAACACTCAAATTTCTAAATGTGAGCTACTCCTGAAATAGAATAAAAATGAATTAGATAATCTAATTAATGTAACCGCAAAACCTCCTATAGAAAGCAAAGTAAAGTTCGAAACATGCAACACATCCCTTAGTCCATTTATAAGAAAAATACTTGTTTTACTTTGTGTAGATTGGCTAAGCTTTTGGTCATATTATTATTATTCATGTAGGGGGATCAGAAAGCTGCACCTACCCTACACATTCAATACGTTGTACCCCAAATGCATTGCTTTACCTAGTTATCTGTCTGACAAGCTCAGAGCAATATGGCAGGTGCTACCATATTAGCATTCTATGCTCCTCATAACCCACCGTATTTGGAATCCCACAGGTTATCAAGCAACTGATGAAGAAGGAGTTTACTCTTGAGTTCTCCCGTGACAGGAAGTCCATGTCTGTATTCTGCACCCCAGCTAAAGCTTCCCGTGCAGCAGTTGGCAACAAAATGTTTGTGAAGGTGAGATTCAAGATTTGAGCACTCCAAAATGTGAAGCTCTCTGACTAATTTAAGAGTGAAAAAATATGATAAAATGATTGTCAAGTAGACTTATAATTCATATATTTGCTGCCTTCCATCCACAGGGTGCCCCCGAGGGTGTCATTGACCGTTGTAACTACGTTCGTGTTGGAACAACTCGTGTCCCTTTCACTGCTGCCATTAAGGAGAAAATTCTGGCTATAATCAAGGAATGGGGTACAGGCAGGGATACCCTCCGTTGTCTTGCTCTGGCTACAAGGGACACTCCACCAAAGAGAGAAGACATGATTCTTGAAGATTCCACCAAGTTTGTCGACTATGAGGTAAGGAGGAAACCTCAAATGTCCCTAGTGTTCAAATATCAGAGGACAAAAGGATCTTCTGCAAGCTTTTTAGTGTGTTTATCAAGATTTCTTTTGAGACTAGTGTCACCCTATTTGACCTTCAGTGGCAATGCTCTTTATGCCCAGTCCTATTCCTACTATATACTAACCACTATCATGAAAAAGAGGTCATTATTCATAAGACATGTTACAGTTAGTATAGTTTAGAAATTGCACTTTCTCCTTAAGGTGATTTTGGTACTCTTCACCTAGAAATCGCTATTCCTTTCATCACAGAAGTATAAGTCTACATAAAGTCAATGTTAATGGGCAACAAAACATCTCTTAATTTCTTAACCTATTGGCCTACAGACAGACCTGACCTTTGTTGGCTGCGTGGGAATGTTGGATCCCCCCCGTAAGGAGGTTATGGGCTCAATCAAACTCTGCCGAGAAGCTGGTATTCGTGTCATTATGATCACTGGTGACAACAAGGGAACTGCTATTGCCATCTGCCGTCGTATTGGCATCTTTGGTGAGGATGATGAAGTAACTGGACGTGCCTACACTGGACGTGAGTTTGATGACCTGCCACCTGCAGAACAGAGAGAGGCCTGTAAACGTGCTTCCTGCTTCGCCAGAGTTGAGCCATCTCACAAGTCCAAAATTGTAGAGTTCTTGCAGTCCTTCGATGAAATCACAGCTATGGTAAGTTCTACAAAGGGACATAGCAGTCCACGTAACACAGTATTTCTGCCATTCAGCCAATCAATGTGATATTATTAGGTGTCTCTACAACACATTGTGTATTTCTATCCTGTCTCAGACGGGTGATGGTGTGAATGATGCTCCCGCCCTGAAGAAAGCTGAGATTGGTATTGCTATGGGTTCTGGTACAGCTGTAGCCAAGACAGCCTCAGAGATGGTCTTGGCTGATGATAACTTCTCCACAATTGTGTCTGCTGTAGAAGAGGGTCGTGCCATTTACAACAATATGAAGCAATTTATCCGCTACCTCATCTCCTCCAATGTAGGAGAGGTTGTTTGGTGAGTGTCATGTCTATGAATTAAATTACTTATTACTGGAAACATGTTGATATGCTGACATGATCTGGCATACTCTTTGCCAACTCCATTAATTAATGAATTAATTAATTGTGTTAAATTTGTAATGACATATTCACAGAGATTTCCTAAAGATATTTCAAGTTCTCTATTAAGCCCTGTCTATGTCCCTCTCTTTCCTGGTACACAGTATCTTCCTGACTGCTGCTCTTGGTCTGCCTGAAGCTCTGATCCCCGTACAACTGCTCTGGGTCAACCTGGTCACAGATGGTCTGCCAGCCACAGCCCTGGGTTTCAACCCCCCTGATCTGGACATCATGGACAGACCACCCCGTAGCCCCAAGGAACCCCTTATTAGTGGATGGCTCTTTTTCCGTTACATGGCCATTGGAGGTGAGGGAGAACACAAAACACAGTAGGATCCCCAATTTCCTCAGGCACCTTACTCTGAAAATTCCAGTCCATAGAGACAATATCACTTAGTAACCTTGTCTCTCTCTTGTCTTTTGCAGGTTATGTTGGTGCTGCCACTGTTGGAGCTGCTGCTTGGTGGTTTATGTATGCTGAAGATGGTCCTGGAGTTACTTTCTACCAGCTGGTGAGATATTTTCTTCTTCTGTTCTCCCGATATCAGTTTACTATCTCATTTTCTGGTGTCGCTCAAATATTGCTCAACAAATTACATTGGATACAGTCTCATTATATGTTTACGTTGGTTCTACATCTTTCTCTATCATCTGTTGTACTTACTCCACATATTATCCCGTAATTACATTTTTTTTCTCTTTCTGAGGCTGCACTCTATGTCTTTTTGTTTTCGTATCTGAGTTTTAGGTCTCTAACACTTCATCTATTATGCATCTCCATTAACCATTTTTTAAAAATTTTTTATACTTTTCAACATCGATCGTATTCCTTGTTAATGCCAAATGGAGTTTCTATCCAATTTTGCTCTTTTTTCCTTTCTCCCAATTAATTTTACATCAACATTGGAGAATGATCACAGGAATCTTTATCAACATATATTATTATATCACTTCCCTCAATTAATAGAAGTCTCCAATTTCTCTTCTAGAAAGGAACGCTCCTGACACTTATGAATATATTTTTCTTAATCTCTAGCTAGTAATGTACCACCCAGTATGACAACAAGTCTCTGTATATGAACAAAACTATTTTAAATTCTCTTCCTTTAGTGTTCATTATTGTCTTCTCTCTTTCGCTCTATAAATGGAATATAGAAAATTGAGTTACTGTGTCATTATACATATATTTTAAATCCCATTTTTTACATTACCAACATTTTTTTTTAGTGACTGGCCTGTTTCCTGTGATTTTTTATTTCATTTTTAATGCTCTATCATTCCATGAATGAATCACGTTCTTCTAAACTGATATGGGCAAGCTGCGTTGATCCTCAGGGGTAGTCATCATGGATCTCCAACGGGTAGAAGTCTACAGGTGGACCTTACCTGCTTTATGACAGTATTTTATTCCAGCAGTAAAATCTCTCTCACTTTTTCCAAAACTGTCGAACATTCCTTCCTTTCCTTCAATGCAACTCAAACCTCTCTTTTTATGGGTGCAATATACCTATTATTTTAATCTCCTATACTCTTTCTCATTTTCAGAGCCACTTCATGCAATGCGTAGAAGAAAGCCCAGAATTTGAGGGTTTAGAATGTGAAATCTTTGAATCACCCGTACCTATGACCATGGCTCTGTCTGTGCTAGTAACCATTGAGATGTGCAATGCTCTTAACAGGTAAGGAAATTCTTCTTAGTTGTTTCTGTAGTAAACTAACTTCAATCTTGATTGAACTATAGATATCTTAAAGAAAAATAAATAGAGTTGTAGATCAATTCTCAATCTATACTCCCCTAAAAATTAGAACCTTTAGAAAAATGCAGGGAGCTTTATAAGTATTAAGCTTGTTGACATTTAGATTAAGTTAGGCATAAAGAATAGGTCCGGAGCACACTGCTAAAATCGGAGTATTCAACATAATCATTCCATTTCTTCCATGGCAATTGTTTCACTTTTAGAGCTTTCTTTAGATATATAAAACAATATAACTAACCCCCAAATGAAGTAATTTAATGTCTGCACATTTGGAATGATATTAATAAACTATATGTATTTTTTACACAATTTCTGTTGCAGCATGCATACTTATTTTTTTACACAATTATGTGATAGGGAGTTCTGACAACCTTCGTCCTTTTCTTGCAGTCTATCAGAAAACCAGTCTCTGATCAGGATGCCCCCATGGGTGAACATTTGGCTGTTGGGCTCCATCTGCCTCTCCATGTCCCTCCACTTCCTTATCCTCTATGTAGACCCCCTGCCTGTGAGTACAAACCCTAGTTGTCTTTATATAATGTAATACAGCACCATTCTTTTGTACACAGATAGGCATCTGTACGAAACCAATGCTGAATGCCATTAGGGGGTATGTAAACTGTTTAGGTTTAGAGAGATAACACATGGCTATCTGAAATTGGAAGTGTGATCAGGTAAAAATAATTAATGTAAGCCACTTTAAAGAACATTCTGCAAATCATTTTATTTCATGAGAGTCCCAAACAGAAGAGTTTCACCTGTAATTGATGTGTTATAACCTCAAAGCATTTTAGACAAGGACTAGAGCTGGCATCGTTGTGCTTTGTTCCCCACCTCATATCATTCCTTTGTTTTCACCAGATGATCTTCAAATTAACTCCCCTGGACTTTACTAAATGGTTCGTTGTCCTCAAGATTTCCTTCCCTGTAATCCTATTGGACGAACTGTTGAAATTCTTTGCCCGTAACTACCTGGATGGTAAGTACAACCTCTCTCTGCTACCAGTATCCACTAAATGTAGTGGTTTTAGCATTATTTAAATATAGAAAATTAGAAATCAGCCTCCCTACAACATTACTACAGGAAAGAGATGGCCTTACTTAGGATTTATGGTCGCAAAAGTAATACTTCTCCTATTTAACTCAATGTCACATCACTCCCCCATCCTCCATTCCTCACTCTCTCACTTACTGTAATAAATAAATGTAATAAATTCACTGTAACAATCATTGTCTCCCAGAACTTAACCCAGACTGTAATATTAAACAGTGAAAGTGAATAATATTCTGTTTTAGATTTATAATATTTAAAAATATAAATTTATGAAAGAACATCAGTTCTGTACTAGTTTTTATAAAATATTTTAGTGGTGGGGAATCATATATAGATTTTTTTTTTCTTTTTTAGATGAATCATATATAGAAATGTATTTCCCCTTATTCGATAATCCGTAAATTAAGGCCCCATCTTATCAGGTTCATATACCAGCATCTTATTGTCTTCTATGACAAGCTAGTGAAGTGTAAATCAGGCTGTCCTGGGATTGGAAAGGTAAGATAAGGATTTTATAATCAGGCCCACGGTGTAGCAGAGTAATCGCTAGGTTTAAGAGAATCTACAAAGCAAACTACTGCAAGTAATTAAGGAATGCTGGGTACATAAAACAAAAATATATAGAATTTTACTAAATTATTTCTACAAAAAAATACAATTATAATTCATTCTGTCATCATGCCCAGTAACAGAGAAGCTTATTTTATTTAAATTTGACTTTAAGCTTTTCAGCTATTGCAGTCCGTTACTGTATAGAAATATGTAGAAATCTACAATGCTCCTGTAGTATAGAGGAAACCATTCACTGTTTGATATCTCAGTCTGAATAAGTTATATTAATTTCTTATATTTTTGTTTAACTATTGAACTAATTTTTTTATCCTTTCCATAGCATAATTTTCTCTCCACATCCCTGTTCCTGTTTAACAGGTATCCCATAACATTTTCACGCGTGAACTGCACTTCCTGTCTCCATGTTGTCTTACCTGTACTTCCTGTCTCCACGTTGTCTTGCCTGTACTTCCTGTCTCCAAGTTGTCTTGCCTGTACTTCCTGTCTGTGTCTATTGCACTTCCTTTCTGTGATCTCCATATGCTCATTCATTTCCACAATCCCTTCCTTTTTAGATTTCCGTTTTTATTTTTTGTGGCTAAAAGACAACATATCATTTTTCATATCATTGTTCTTTTTTTTTTTTATTAAATGGAAATCTGGAAAAAAATAATCTTGCTTTTCATCATAACCTCGCATTCCTTCATTGAATCTCTATGACCCTGTATTAATTTAATACTGTAACCCAGTTTTTGTCCATTGTGACTCCATATACCCTATTCCTGTGCACTACCCGAGTCATTAATCTTCACACTTTGTCTTCCTCTCCATGTCTGTCCTTAAATCACCACCCTGGCCACAAATTAGTCAATTTCTCTGACCCTCCTTCCGGAGCATATTTAAGATCTTTCTTGTTCTACAATACACCCGGCAGAGCTGCATAGAGTGTATTTGGCAGTGTGACGTCCATTTTATAGTTCTGTGTGTCCGTGGCTCAGAGTGATATGTCTTAGCCATCATATGTTGCAGAGAATGCAACATATGTATGTATCTGCATTCTGCAAAGGCGTCTGCTTCCGTCAATGATTTATTTATGTAGTAAATCTATTTTTTTTGTGACTATATAGCTGCTATAAATAAAGTTGTGCATGTTTAAATGTTTATTTATAATATAGAAACCCTGTATGTAGATGGGAACCAATTATTTGGACAATGTGATATAAGTTTCTATAGAAAGGGCAGTGAATGCTCAAAAGTGTAATATGTTTTAAAAGGGCAAAATTATATCCAAAGGATTGTACTTTCCAAATAGCTAACATCTGTATAGATTTACATATACCTTTAATTTGGAGTATTGCTAATGAGTAAAACCTGCAGATAGCTAGGATTAATGTAGAAGAAATATCAATTTCTTTAACCGCTCTGGCAAGTATATGCTCAGTATCTCATGGATTTGGTGGCAATATACATTGGTGTCATGTATTGAGTATAGTACGATTGCTTTAAATTTTGCTTTGAATGATGGGAAACTTGGCGGTAAGTCAGAAGGATACAGAACAGCTTAAGTATTATTGCAATACAGGTGAGCGATGTTGATACAAGTTGTGTTTTATTTTCACGAGTTACAGGAATGCTCCACACACATAAATCACTTAGCCTTGTCTGGACCCCTTTTTTTAAGAGCTGTATTACAGCCGCATGAAAGTCTGGCCTGGGTTAGAAGGGGAGGGCTTACACAGATTGCAGACAAGAGATCTGCAGCTTCTCCAAGCTGTATTAGATATATCTTTGGGGGTATAGCTACTAAAATACATTTCTAGTGGAGTGTTCCTTTAATGCAACACAACATCACTTTGTTGCAGAATTTTTTCTTTAGAAACTTGACTTTAGCAAAGAATGTTTTGTTTTTATTTTTTAAATTCTGACCATGTCCTTTGAAACTTTCTCATTCACTCACCACAATAAATGCTACTAAAGCATTTGCTGGGGTGAGTAGGTAAGTATGCCACACACTTTAATGGTAGTTGTGCATCTAGAGGAACACCATCGCCCCATGATGCTTTGAGCGCTGTCATGCATGCCTAAATATCTACCGGGTAATACCATACAAGTGCAAGCAGGAGTTTTTTTCAAAGTACTGTATGCGCATGTCTCTGTGGGGTTAGTTTGACATTGTATGCTCCGTCTGTGCCAGGACAGCCATGCATTCTGTTTACATTGCAAAATATAATCAAAAATTATTTAGTTTAGAGAAAAGAGGCCGGAGGTCTTTGGCGTGATCAGAAAAATTAATATATTTGCAATTATTCCTTGCTTTTTTTATGTCATATTTTGTGTTCCATTTTCTTCACAATAACATGCTGAAATTTATGGAAAATTGACAAAGGAACTGCAAATATTGTTTTACCAATTTGTCTATACCTTGGCTTAAAGGACCACTATAGTGCCAGGAAAACATACTCGTTTTACTGGCACTATAGTGCCCTGAGGGTGCCCCCACCCTCAGGGACCCCCTCCCGCCGGGCTGGATGGCGAGGAAAGGGGTTAAACTTACCTTTATTCCAGCGCCGGTTGGGGAGCTCTCCTATGGACACTGGCGTCTTCTCACTGTGATTTTCACAGTGAGAAGCACGCATGCGCCTCTAGCGGCTGTCAATGAGACAGCCACTAGAGGATTTGGAGGCTGGATTAACCCATATATAAACATAGCAGTTTCTCTAAAACTGCTATGTTTATAAAAAAAAAGGGGTTAGTCCTAGAGGGACCTGGCACCCAGACCACTTCATTAAGCTGAAGTCGTCTGGGTGCCTAGAGTGGTCCTTTAACATTTTTTAATCCTTGGGGTTGTTTGCACGCAGTAGGTTTAGTTAAATTTTGCATTCCCAATCATCTAATTTAGCTCAATAACATGTACAGAATAGTAACAACAGAATAATCCAGTATATAATGTTCTGTAATTTGCCAAAGTAATTACATAAATTCCAAGGAAACTATTTTATTATATATCTGAAAGCTTCCTGGACTATCAACAAGGTCAAAACAAGCAAGCAACGTTTTGAAAAATCCTGATTGTCTTTTCTCTCTCCCTCTCTTTGCAGAAAAAACACAATAAAAGCAATTTCTGCTTTTGACCGAAATAAAATTACATCTCAGCCCAAATCTCCATTCAAACTTTTTTTCAGTTTCACATTTTTTTTCCTTCCTTAAAATCTTCATTCTTTTTAACACATCACTGCCATCCTTAACCCCTTGATGCCACAATCCTTCCGGCGATGAGGGTCCCAGGTTAAAAGGGCAACAGATTTTTTGGGCTGTTTTTTTTTTGGGGCTGTTTTTTTTTTCTCTGGTTTCCAAGTGCCTTTTAAATCGTGCTTCCATTGTTACCCCCTTTTTATAGCGCTCCCATCCTTGTAGCAACCCCAAATTATTCTGCAGATAAAAAAAACAATGAAGACAACTTCACGCAGCCGAACGATCTGGATGAAAGAATATATTTGCCAGTCTTTTCCCTACCAGCGAAAGCCACGAAGCCGGGGTTTTGTAAATGCAGCAGTGTTGGTTATCCTGTCCCTATCCTCTGAGGGAGATGCAGCTTGTAGCAAAAAACGGAAGCAATTAAACCAAATGAAAACTGTTCTAGCTATTTATTAAAATTAAACAATAACTTAAAGTCTGACTTGTCGTGTATTTTGATTTATTGATGTATCCACTATATAAAAGCCAACAGCATTCAGTAATAATTTATACCTCCCAGCATTTCAAATGGTCAAATTGGGGCGCTTTAATCTTAGGAGGTGAGGCTGGAGGTGTTATCAAGGGACAGGGTCAATCCAGGACATTTTAGGTGACATTATGATCTACACATATTTATATAGAAACATAGAAACACAGAATGTGACGGCAGATAAGAACCATTCGGCCCAACTAGTCTGCCCAATTTTCTAAATACTTTCATTAGTCCCTAGCCTTATCTTATAGTTAGGATAGCCTTATGCCTATGCCACGCATGCTTAAACTCCTTTACTGTGTTAACCTCTACCACTTCAGCTGGAAGGCTATTCCATGCATCCACTACCCTCTCGGTAAAGTAATACTTCCTGATATTATTTTTAAACCTTTGTCCCTCTAATTTAAGACTATGTCCTCTTGTTGTGGTAGTTTTCTTCTTTTAAATATAGTCTCCTCCTTTACTGTGTTGATTCCCTTTATATATTTAAATGTTTCTATCATATCCCCTGTCTCGTCTTTCCTCCAAGCTATACATGTTAAGATCCTTTAACCTTTCCTGGTAAGTTTTATCCCGCAATCCATGAACCAGTTTAGTAGCCCTTCTCTGAACCCTCTCTAAAGGTATCAATATCCTTCTGAAGATACGGTCTCCAGTACTGTGTACAATACTCCAAGTGAGGTCTCACCAGTGTTCTGTACAATGGCATGAGCTCTTCCCTCTTTCTACTGCTAATACCTCTCCCTATACAACCAAACATTCTGCTAGCATTTCCTGCTGCTCTATTACATTGTCTGCCTACCTTTAAGTCATCAGAAATAATCACCCTAAATCCCTTTCCTCATATGTTGAGGTTAGGACTCTATCAAATATTCTGTACTCTGCCCTTGGGTTTTTACGTCCAAGATGCATTATCTTGCACTTATCCACATTAAATGTCAGTTGCCACAATTCTGACCATTTTCTAGTTTACCTAAATCATTTGTCATTTGGCTTATCCCTCCTGGAACATCAACCCTGTTACATATCTTAGTATCATCATCAAAAAGACATACCTTACCATCAAGACCTTCTGCAATATCACTACTAAAAATATTAAAGAGAATGGGTCCAAGTACAGATCCCTGAGGTACCCCACTGGTGACAAGTCCAAGCTTCGAATATATTCCACTAACTACAACCCTCTGTTGCCTGTCACTCAGCCACTGCCTTACCCATTCAACAATATTGGAATCTACCCTTCGTAAGAGGAATAGAGGCCCTCTACGCTGACCCCAGAGCACAGACAATGGTGCCAGGGGGGCGTCACCAACCCCCTTCCGACCCAAGAACGGTACCAGACAGGGATGCCCCTTGTCCCCCCTGCTGTTCATTATAGCACTAGAGCCCCTGCTACACTGAATAAGTGAGGCCAAGGGCATAGAGAAAATCTGGGCCGGGGAGGAGAAGTATAAAGTCTCCGCATACGCGGATGATATTATGATCACGATGTCCAGCCCTCATCACTCGCTCCCTCGACTCCTATCACTATTAGAGGAATACGCATATGTTTCGGGCTACAAAATTAATATGGGAAAATCGGTGGCTCTGCCACTCGGAATGGACCCAAGGGAGATTGAAAGCCTATGCACCGCACACACATTAACAATCGCGAAAACCAACATTAAATACTTGGGCGTTAGGCTCACTGCAGATCCGGACAAATTATACTCCGAGAATTACACACCTAGGATACAATCACTGTGCCGAGATATAGAAAAATGGCAGGAAAAACCAATTTCCTGGATAGGCAGACTCCACGCCATAAAGATGACACTGCTTCCCCGTCTGCTGTTCCTGTTCCAGGCACTACCTGTAAAAGTCACCAAGCAAGATTTAACGCCATTACAATGAACCATTGATAAGTTCACCTGGGCAAAAAAACTTCACTGCATAGCCAGACAGGTACTATACCACCCAAAAACGAGGGAAGTATTGGGGCTCCCAAATCTCTATTGTTACTACCTAGCGGCGCAACTGGCCCAGGTGGTAGCGTGGCATTCCTGGGTGGGTTCCCACAGGTGGGTAGAACTAGAAACACACCTGATGAGTACAGACCTACCACAATTTTGGATATGGCTGCCCAAACAAGACAGACCACCCCTCCGCACCACATGCCCAGCGATACTTAACTCAATACGAATCTGGGACCTCACGGCAGACAAACACGCCCTAAAACATACACCGTCCCCGATGACCCCATACCTCCACAACGAGGCATTCGAGGCCAGGCTGAGTGCACGAGACTTCCAGGGCATTGAGAACACGGGGGTACAGAGATATGCCCATCTATACGACAAGGGAACCTTTAAAACGTTCGAACATCTGAAAACCCTCGCCCCCCTGACCACAAAAGATGTATTCAGATACATACAGCTCAAAGACTTTGCCAACAGCCCTGTGGTCAAAAGGGCAGCGCACACGCACATGACATTTTTCGAACAACTGTGCAATGCTGAAGTTGAACAGAAGGGACTGATTACACTCCTATACGCACACCTAAGTGCCCCAGACAAAAGCACCACAGACCCCAGATATATTAGACAGTGGGAGACGGACCTGGGGGGAGAGCTGGAGGGGGAGGACTGGGTAGATATATGGGAGGCGACAGCAAAGACATCGATCTGCGTACTACACCAGGAACCATCATATAAAATTTTGATGAGATGGTACACCACACCAGTCCAACTGTATAGGATGGGAAAAACCACGACAGACACATGCTGGAAGGGCTGTGGGAATAAGGGCACTTTTGTACATATGTGGTGGGAGTGCCCAGTCATAGGCGGATATTGGAAACGAGTACAGACGCTACTGACAAACATCCTGGGACGACATGTAGACATGGACCCCTGGTCCGTCCTACTGTCTAGGCCAATATATGGCCTCCCCAGAAAAGAACAACAACTCTTTAATAAAATCATCCTGGTGGCCAGGTGGGCACTAGCCCAGGCATGGCTAACACCCACAGTCCCTACGGACAACGACATAATAACGAAGATTAAAGACGCATACTTAATGGACAAACTCACAGCCCAAATTAGAAATACAGAAAAAACATTTCACAGCATCTGGCAACCCTGGGAGGAATACATAGACGACTGAGACCTGCAAAATCATATGAGAGCGGAGACCGGGGAGCGGATAGGGACGAGGCCCACGGCGCGCCTCCCCAGCACAGGCCCTGTTAAGGGCAACACAGCACTCACTTCCCCCCCCCTTTTTTCCTCTCCCCTGGTCTCCTGCCTCCCCACTTTTCCCTCATCTTGCTCCCCTCCCCCCGCCCTTACCCACACCACGCAACAACAAAGCAAATAAGACAACAGCGCCCACACGACCTAACCAAGAAGAGTGCGACCCCAACCCCTTCAATTGGGATAGAATACTCCCACTACACGAAAGAGGGCGAGGCCCCAACAAGCTGACACAGGAAAGTGACGCCTCATATAACGAACCCCGCAAATAAGCAACACTAAAAGATCAGACGGGACAAACCGCATAGAGACCCTATCCAAACCCTACCCTAACACGGATATGACAGGCAGATCACAGGGGCTCCTCATACACTACATCATCAACCCCGGGAAAGAGCCCACGAAGACAAGCGCGGGGATAAGGACCACCACCCCATACGAGACACACACAAAGTCAACCAGCCTAAGACGATCCCAAACCTGATGGGGCGCAGACATGCACAACCACAACCTGCACTCTCACATAAGCACACCATGCTGATCAACCACATGTTCTACCAAGTCACATAAATAACAAGGACATGTTCAGCTATGTCTTATTACCTCTGTTAATTTTATGTTTAAATATTGAAAAGTTGACAATGAACAGCACAACAACTGTAATCATGAAACATGCACCACCTACTTCTGTATGTATTGAGCAAAGTGAAAAATGTAATGCTGTTACATGTGTCAAGGCGAAAATAAAGAAATTAAAAAAAAAACAATATTGGAATCCAAACTTAAAGATTGCAGTTTATTGATAAGCCTTCTATGTGCAACAGTGTCAAAAGCCTTACTGAAATCTAGGTAAGCAATGTCTACTGCACCACCCTGATCTATAATTTTAGTTACCCAATCAAAAAAATCAATAAGATTAGTTTGGCATGATCTCCCTGAAGTAAACCCATGTTGTCTCTGATCTTGAAATCCATGTGTTTTTAGATGTTCATCAATCCTATCCTTTAACATGGTTTCCATCACTTTCCCCACTACTGAAGTAAGGCTTACTGGCCTATAGTTGCCCGACTCCTCCCTATTACCTTTCTTGTAAATGGGCACAACATTCGCTAACTTCCAATCTTCTGGGACTACTCCTGTTAACAATGATTGGTTAAATAAATCTGTTAATGGTTTTGCTAGTACACCACTAAGCTCTTTTAATAGCTTTGGGTGTATTCCATCAGATCCCATTAACTTATTTGTCTTTACTTTTGACAGTTGAAATAGAACCTCTTCCTCTGTAAACTCACGTGTAATAAATGACTAATTTATCCTTTTTCTTAACTGAGGTCCCTTTCCTTCATTTTCATTTGTAAATACAGAACAAAAATATTCATTGAGGCAGTCAGCTAGATCTTTATCCTCTTCTACAAACCTTCCTTCTTTTGTTTTTAATCTAACTAATCCTTTTTTTCTTTTCTTTTCTCATTTATGTATCTAAAAAAAGTTTTGTCCACTTTTTTACTGACTGTGCTATTTTCTCTTCTGTGTGTGATTTGGAAGCTCTTATAACTTGCTTAGCCTCTTTCTGCCTAATCTTATAGATCATTTTGTCTTCCTCACTCTGTTTTTATTTATAATTACTAAATGCTAACTTTTTGTTTTTAACTATTTTTGGCTACATCTGCGGAGTACCACAGTGGTTTCTTGAATTTTTTGCTTTTACTGACAAGCCTAATGCAATTTTCTGTTTTAAATAATCCCATTTCTCTTGGACTCCATTTAAATTGCTCCAATCTGATAATGACTCCTCTACACATATTCTAATTTTAGAAAAGTCTGTTTTTTCTAAAGTCTAAAACTTTTGTTTTTGTGTGGTGTGACTCAGTCACTGTTCTTATATTAAACCACACTGACTGATGATCACTGGATCCTAAACTTTCACCTACAGTAATATCTGATACCAAATCAAATCTCCATTTGTTAACACTAAATCTAGTATGGCCTCCTTACGAGTTGGCTCCTCAACGGGGAATTATTATTTAGAAGAAGAAGAATTTATCTTGGTTACCCAGACTGATTTCCAAAAACATTTATAGACAGATTGCTGGCCGTTTTATTGTAGTGAAGCTCTGTCATATCCTCAGACACTGCTAAAATCCCAAGCTCCAAAAATAGAGGGTCATTAGAAAAAAAAACAGGAACGGAGGGACCAATATTGGGACCAATATGCACCCCTCCTAAATAGGGACATATGAGAGGTATGCTGACTTTAAAACCACTGGATAGTTCTAGAACATGCACAATTCAGATTTCTCAACCTGTCATCCACTGAGACTCTAATGCAGATTAACAATCTGAGTCAGTAACTACAATCACCACTTTACATTGCAAGAAATTTCCCCCTCTACTGGTCATAAATGATACTGCAATGGCAAAAAATACAATAAAAGAAGATTAATTAAATTAGATGGGAGCCGGCAAGACAGATTACCAAGGTCACTACAGTGAGAATTCTAAGTGAATTTTAAATTCAAATTAAAAATAGCTGAACTGGAAACATTCTTTAAGTCAGCTATGCTTCCAGTTTGGGTGTTTTGGAATTACATTTGAAATTAATTTAGAATTCTCCCATTAGTAAATATAACCCTGTATATAAAATATATAATGAATATGATATGGACCCAGGTTATTCATATCATCGGAGCTCTGTGAGGTTTTTAATTGTATAAAAAGCAAACTGTGTTAATTTGAAAGGATCTACTTTTCAAAATACCAGCAGTCAATGTATAATAATTATCAAAATTCGGAATAGACTCAGGGGATGGACAACAGACACCACTGTGTTTTAAATCCTGTGTGCTTTTTTCCATATGCACGTATTACATAAATTGCCTAAAGCAAGACATTAGCTTTAGTTCTGGTCAATAGATTTTTAAATAAACATATTAAAGGGTTACTCTCAGAATCAAAGTTTGCTGTAGTGGTTATGGTCCCAGAATTACCCTGACCCAAGTCCCTGGTAATGAGGCAAAACATTTAGTAACAGTCCGAGGCTCCTAGCATCCCCGGTGACAGAATTTGCACAGGATTGACATTAGCCGGCCCGGAGCTCTAATTCCAGTCCGGCTCATGACGCCTCTTTGACACTGCCGTTGGTAGAGTAACACTTCCGTCAGCTAAGGGACAAACTCCGTATTGGTAGCGTTTTAAAGTGAAACACTGCACATACAGAATCCAGGTACCATGACCACTTCAAATCGCAGTGATCATAAAGCTTGGAGTAACCATTATAACATCCTAATAGGGAACATGCCATTAAAAAAATAATATAAACAATGTGTAATAGAGTAAACTACAAAACAAGGCTCAGATCACTGGGACAATAAATCCATGCTGGGGTCCCCTATTAATGAGTAGGAAGCCGTTAATGTACTAATATTTATAATACTAATATACTAATAATTTATACCAAGAAAAAAAATGCCTGATGTGTTTTGGACATTAGCCCTTAGTCATAAGGTACTGCAATACATTTACAGCTTAACATACATTTCAGATCCTGTGAATCATTAACCAAACCTGCAAACTTCCCTGCCCCTGCCCCTGCAAGTGGGATACCAGTGGGCGAGGGTGAGTCATTGACGCTAATTGCAACATTGAGGTAGCCCAAAGCAGACGAACCTGCCCAGAAAGGGGTCATATCCACCTGCTGAATTGACATGTCAGTCAGGTAAACATTACAGGCAAGCATGCAGGTAGGCTAACAGTGATATAGAAAGGGTAGTAGATACCTGGAATAGCCTTCCAGTGGGAGTAGTAATGGCTAACAGTGATATAAAAAGGGTAGTAGATGCCTGGAATAGCCTTCCAGTGGGAGCAGTAAAGGCTAACAGTGATATAAAAAGGGTAGTAGATACCTGGAATAGCCTTCCAGTGGGAGCAGAAATGGCTAACAGTGATATAGAAAGGATAGTAGATACCTGGAATAGCCTTCCAGTGGAAGCAATAATGGCTAACAGTGATATAAAAAGGGTAGTAGATGCATGGAATAGCCTTCCAGTGGGAGTAGAAATGGCTAACAGTGATATAGAAAGGGTAGTAGATACCTGGAATAGCCTTCCAGTGGGAGCAGTAACAGTGATATAGAAAGGGCAGTAGATACATGGAATAGCCTTACAGTGGGAGCAGTAACAGTGATATAGAAAGGGTAGTAGATGCCTGGAATTGCCTTCCAGTGGAAGCAGTAATGGCTAACAGTGATATAAAAAGGGTAGTAGATGCATGGAATAGCCTTCCAGTGGGAGCAGAAATGGCTAACAGTGATATAAAACTCACAGTATGCGCTGGGTGTATGAGTGTATCACAGAGCTCCTATGCAATAAAACGCACAGTATGCGCTGGGTATATGAGTGTATCACAGAGCTCCTATTCAATAAAACTCACAGTATGTGCTGGGTGTAGGAGTGTATCACAGAGCTCCTATGCAATAAAACTCACATTATGCACTGGGTGTATGAGTGTATCACAGAGCTCCACAGAAAAATAAAACTCACAGTATGCGCTGGGTGTATGAGTGTATCACAGAGCTCTCCCTATCAGGTTAATTTAGGAAAGTGAGAATTCAAAATTAATTTCAGTTTTAAGGTCAAAATAGCCGAACTGGAAACATGACTGCTTTTCCCCCAAAATGTCCTTTATTCGCCCGTGTGAATATTCAGCTTTAATATTCAATCCCAAGGAGCTGTCAAATGACACTGTCACCGTCTGTCTCTGTATGTCTCGTGACTGGGTTGGAATTTCAGGGAAACTGAAAGTGAAATTACATTTTCAGGAGGGGATGGGGGAGGCGTGACGGATGACAGTGATGACACTTATCTGAAAGCCGTTATCAGAAATGAAATGACATCATCTTCCGGTAAAAGTCATGACATCGAGAAAAAAGTGAGTCCCAGGGAAAACAAACACCTGTTTTGCTTTGTGTCTGAGGTCAATCAACTCGTAAGTAGCCTTTATTTTAACATTTACTGTATCAGAGATTTCTAATATTTCTAAATAAAGTTATTTTTTAAGCTGGGTTACTAACTCTAACCTATCAAGTCAACAGTCAAAACACATTTATGTACATTGTTGTTGTTGCTGTGAATCGAGTTAATGAGACTGAAGTGAAACTGTCTCTGTCTCAGCTACAAACAAATTTCACTTGCTGTGTCGTGGTGTATTGTATCCTCTGTTTGCTGTGCTTGAAGGGTTAATGTTGATTCTCCTTATCTAAATTCTGCAACTGAACAACTCATTTGGTTTGAACATGATTAGATCGATCCGCGAGAAGCACAGGTGTTGTAACACTCCTTGAAACCGGTTTGACATTATACACACAATCACTTACACACACAAAATCACAATCATATACACACACAAACTCACACACAAACACACAATCATACACACACAAACACACAATCATATACACACACAAACTCACACACAAACACACAATCATACACACAGAAACACACAATCATATACACACACAAACACACAATCATATACACACACAAATTCATACACAAACACACAGTCATATACACACACAAACCCATACACAAACACACAATCATATACACACACACAATCACACACAAGCACACAATCATAAACACACAAACTCATACCCACTTCATTTTTATTTTGTATAGATGTTTTGGAGGGGGGATCACAGTGAGTTATACCCCGACTGCCTTTTCTCACTTAGAAAGTGAGAGATGGAGTGTAAGCTCTCCCTGGGGGCCAGTTGGGTCTGCTGTGATCCCTCTGCAATGATTGTTGATAGCTTCCTGCCGCTGTGTATTGATGCTGGGCTGGGTAGACATCACAACCCGACCCCAGCATCAGTACAAGGTGCACAAGGAACTGGAGCTCAGTATGGGTCATCCAGGCAGCTTCCTGGGGGCTCGCAGCCATAGAGCATTCACCTGATGTGCCGCATGTAATGTTTTGTCGTTGTGTTAATGAAGCGTTTGTACCGGTAAAGCATGGATGTCAGTGTGGGTAAGCAGGTGTCGGTTTATTAAATACAGAAGAGAGGTGAAAATAACTGATACTCACAGATACTCTCATAATTCCAACTGGCTCACCTGAAACTAGATAGGGTAAACCGTCATCCCACAATCTGAATACTGCTATGTGATTGGTTGGAACTTACATATATAAATATCACACTGCACCTGAGCCAGCTATGTGCTAGTAGGCCGTGACCGCCTGCCGCTTGACACCTTGGGAGGACCACCTCCCCACAGTAATAACACCTCTAACTGCACCCAAAGATTCCTTGCACCATAACCACTGCAATGATCTGTAATAATACAACAAGCTGTATTAAAACAATAATACTATTATAATAAACTGTAATGGTACAAGCTGTAATAATACAATATGCTGTAAGGCTTTTGATAGAGTTCCACACATATGCTTACTATACAAACTGAAAGCATTTGGTTTAAATTAAAATTCTTGTTCTTGGCTTAGAGACACAATTGAGAAACTAGACTGGTAAGGAAAGATGGCATTGAACAGCGCTATATAAATAATAATAATTTATATGTTAATATCCTTATTATTAAAGTGATAGATGTGTAATTAATGATCATGTTATATTTTGATATTGGTAGAGCCTGGACGAGATTGAAATAATAATAATAAGTGTTGGAGGTTCGACATGGACAACAGCAATATTACCAGAATTTCAGGAACCAGTGTGGTGAGTGTGGTGTGTGTCCTTGGGAATGGCTTTCATTTTCCTACTGTGCTCTGTTATCCCCAAATAAAGGTTTCCATCACTCACCACCCTCTATGGTTTCCATCACTCACCAGGAACCCCCTGTGGTGTGATCCCCTACATCAGGGTTTTTGGCATTCACCAGGCACCTCCTATTTTGTCACCTCCACCATTCATTCACCAGAAGCCACTAAATAATGCAAACACCAGGGCTATCTTTATTTAACAGATCCTTCCTATGCTGGGATCCCCCACAGGTCTTCCCACGCAGGTCTTCCATTCTTTAACAGCATCCTACTAAGGTGTGAAGGCTAACATTGGGGGCATCCATTAAGCACTAGAAGCACCCACCAAGTCTGCAACTCAACACAGCTCTCTATTGTGTGATACACCAGGGCTTTGACAGTGGGCCATGGAAATATGTCAACATGGAAAATGATGCCATTGGTCCAGTAACTGAATCTAGAGAGCAGCTTGTAGGAGCCTCAAAAAGCAAATCTTTACATAGAAACATAGAATGTGACGGCAGATAAGAACCATTCGGCCCATCTAGGGGGAGAGATGGGTTGGAGGGAGAGACACAGGGAAAGGGGGGAGGGAGAGAGATGGGGAGGAGGGAGAGACACAGGGAGAGGGGGAGGGAGAGAGATGGGGAGAGGGGAGAGCCACAGGGAAAGGGGGAGGGAGAGAGATGGGGAGAGGGGAGAGAAAGAGGGAAAGGGGGGAGGGAGAGAGATGGGGAGGAGGGAGAGACACAGGGAAAGGGGGTAAAAGAGGCAGAGGGGGAAGCTACGGGCTAGAGTTCACTCTCACCACTTCCTGGTGGTCGCAGTAGTAGGAGTGAACTCTAGCCCCATACACACACTGCCCACACACACACACACCATACACATTCACACACTGCCCCCCCACACACACACATTCACACACTGCCCCCCCACACCCACACACTGAACCTTTCACACACATTGTGTGATGGAATTCCAGTAAAATACAAGTTTAGCAGGCCAAGATTGCCACAAGGCATATGTAGGTACATGTGTTTGTAGTATCAGTTAGTTAGTTACACGTAGCTAAGATACTGTCATCACTATACTGAGCATGTGCAGGAATGCAGGAACTGGAATTACGCGTCCCTCTCCTTTGTTTCAGATGAGCCACGTGGTTAGACCGGATGGATGAGTTTAGACTCAATTCATTGATTAGGTTAAGGGTATGTGTGGGCGTAGCTAATTATGGGAGGAGCTACAGTGCTATATAAGGAATGTACTCTATGTATTCAGTGCTCAGATCTTTGCTGTTTTTGGTGACATAAGTCCCTCTGAGTTCCGGTCGGTGAATCGAATAAAGATCTCTTCCTTCCTGAAGAAACCTGTGTCCATCTCTCTGTGCTTGGCCTCCGTCAGTTTCCCGGTAACAGTTGCACCCCCCACACATTTCACCACTGCTCCTATACCCTACTACAGCCCCATATCCCAGCAGACTCCAGGTAAGTTGTCAAACTGTTCTTAAACGGTTTGACTACTTACTCTGGGAGTGGGTGCCGACACTCCTGGCACCATAACCACTACACAGAGGAGTAGTGGTTATTGTGCATGGAATATTTCTTTAAATAATCTACAAGTGCCCCTCCGGGCTCAGGCTCTGGATCCGTCACTGGTATATGACATGTATATTAATGTGTATATTATATATATATATATATATATTATATTTACACATATTAATGTACATTTATATATGCATAATACACAGAGAAATTTCATGAATATGTACCCCATATGTAATGAGCAGATATTGGCCCAATCTTGTTGCTAGATGCATACTCCAGCACAATAACATATTGAAAGTGAAGAGCACACCCACAGGACTTCAAAATAAACATTTTTTACAGTTGTGCCCTACATACATTCACCATTTCAGTCCCATTACCAAGCTTTCCTTAATATGTCAAGGTAGTTGGACTGAAACATTGATTATATGCAAAGGCACGTCTGCTTAAAATAAATCTGCACTTTTGTTTATTTTGAAGCCTATGAGTGTGCTTTTTACGTTGAAGTACTTTTTAATTTTAAATTATCTGTTCTAACTCTGTATCTGCACACTATGCTGGCGCGACGCATTATGGGGCTGGTAAATATTTTTTTTCCAGGGCTGCTTTTAATTCCCAGTCCGGCCCTGCTTCTGAAGGTAATTGGTTGCACCAGAGCTTTTATGGGCTTCATAACAAGGGGGGTGAATACATACGCACATGCCTGTTTTCTGTTTCTGAAAAATAGTTTTATGTATATATTTTTCTAATTTCACTTCACCAACTTCGACTATTGTGTTCTGATCCATCACATAAAATTCAGATTAATAAAACATTGAACTTAAGGCTGTAATGTAACAAAATAGGTAAAAAGTAAATCGGGGGTGAATACTTTTGCAAGGCACTATATATTTTTAAAAATGGGGGAAGAGGGGAGAGCACAACTGTTCCAAGAGTGACCACTAAACACTCTTGTAAACAAACACAGATCAAGTACGTCCCCAAGTGCACCACTATTTGGAATAAATGCAAGAACCAGATTTTAAATAGACATCTTCTTGAGAATCAATCAAGTGCGAGCTGGTCTATGAGGGTTAGCTATTCTGTAAGAAAACACAAGACAAAAATTTTTAAATCTCAGCAATTTTTTTAATTTACACGCCCTGTTTGGCATGACAGACAAGGCATGTGAATTAATTTAACGCCTGCAGTGTTGTAGACAATCACTGTAGTTAACAGTAGTGTTTATTGGGGTAATGGACAAACGAACTGACACTTACAGAGAAATGACAATTCCATTTTCACTAGAGTTTAAAATGTTATAACTCATGCTTTCGTTTTTCCATCAAAACATTTCAGGATGAGCTGCTGGAAAACCCGAACACTGACTTCCATCCTGAAAGGTTTCTGAATATCCAGCATCATTTGGTCATCTTATTCCATGCTCGCAGGTGCATGAAAGAACGGATGGCTGATTGTAAGCTCCCACTTTGCCAAACATTAAAGAGCATTTTCAATAATGTGGCACAGTGCCCATCTTGGAATGAATGTCCAGGTAAGAGAGTGTCCAAAGTTTTGTCTAAGACAATGTCTCGGATTATGCTCTATTAATGAATGGAATGATAGATGGATGGGTGGTTGGGTGGGTGGATGCATGGACGGACAGATTAATACATTGAAAATGAAAGGATTAATTCTTAAGGGATTGTTTCCTGTTCATTAGCTGTAGACCTTGATCAAAGGTAGACAATAGAACACAGTTCTCGAGATGTCTTGTATCTATAACTCCTGTGATTCATGGAATGAACATGTTGTTTATCCCTGATCTAAAATGTTTACATTTTACAGGCAGATAAGATCAATGGATAAAGGTCAAGGCATTTAACTCAAATATTAAGATCATGACATAATCTCCTTCTCTCTTCCTCAGTTAACTACTGCACATTTTCCAAAAAAGTCCTTCTCCACTGGATGAAATGCAAGCAGTGGAACTGTCGTATATGTGGTCCCTTACGGAAGATCCCAAGTCAGCCGTGTGAGTGTCCTCTCACTGTTGGTATAACCATGGGACAATTAGGAAGTGAAATACATTTTTATTTTATACATTCAATGCAGAGTAAAATTAGGTTGTAAATTGATAAAATTATAGTAGATTGCCCAGATGCCAAGGGAAGGTTATGTTTCCCTATTTTTATAGTACCAAGCACTATGTTGCTTGAAGCCATATTAATGGATTGAAGGCAGTGGTTACCAAGGAGGTAACATGTGGCGAAAAGAACAAGGCGCCTTAAAACCAATTCTAACAGACCGACTATCCCTACAAATGAAACCTACCTAATATCATGTGCTTTATTTCCCTTGTGCCCCAATCATGGTCACAAAATACATTATTTTACTAGCTGGATGTTACGATAGGCATCTCATCACTAATTCTGGACAGCGGTAGGTGTTATAAAACAACTCAGATATCTCAGGGGCTACATTAGGCTTTATACCACTTGTCAGGGAAAACAAATGGAATAAGCATCCATGATTTACCCAACAGGTGATTATCAGCAGACCCTCCGCGAGGAAGGATTGGCTTCAGACAATAACCACCATACACTGAACTCCGAGACGGATCTTCCCAACTCCATGACAAGAGTAAAGTAAGACATGATTAGAGCGTGTTCGGAGGAGGAAGGTATGGGGTGAACTTAAAGGGAGTCAATCTAAAGGGGTAAGGTCACTTCCCAGGATTTTTAATATTCTTTGACTTAATCCCTGTATTTAACAAATATGTGTCTGAAAATAAAATTAAATGTAGAAGTTTAAACTGCTCTAAATCTATCCGGCAACAGGGTGCCCCCCTCTTGATTCCAGGTCAATCACCATTATAAGCTCTTCCATTTTACATATCATGGAACATATTGTGTGACGTTGCAGTGTGTGCCTTGGCCACAGTGCAATGTTCTGGCTGTGCCTGGACTCAACTGGATTGTGATGTGATTTGTTAAAACTGTAATAAAGGGAAGAAAAGCATCACATGACAAAAAAAAGGTGAATCCAATATATAGGTGATTTTCAATATTGTATTCTGTGGTGTCATTTCCAGAGAAGTGATACTTCCCCTTTTAGCCATTTCCAAGGACGGTGTGATTTGGTATCTGATGCTACACACACTTGGATTTTTCGAGGGTTCTAGCAAGGTTTTAGCTGTAGAACAGGAGAGCACCAATGTCTGATGTGTGCCCAACCTGCCTTTGTGTTTAATGCTACAATCCTCTAAGATACCTCTCTCTTCTTCTAATGACAGCCAGGCACAGAACAGGGAGTGTACTATAAGCACTTTTGCCAGCTTTGGTACCACCAGAGATTGGGAGCTGCCATTACCTACAGCACCATGGGAAACACTGTACACACCGGGAACTGAGAACATGTGTGAAAATATTGGACTTTGTTCGTAAGTGTGTAACCGTAAACTATGGCAACTCACAGACTGACGTATGAAGTCAATGGAACATGGCATGTTTTATGCAAAAACACCTAATATAGAAAAATAACTGGGTTCGGGAATTTCTCCAGCTCAATTATTTTGAACAAAAATTTGTAATTCCTTGTTAATTCTTTCACAATTTTTCTATTGTTTTCCAGTTTTACAACAGTGGTAATTGTATGCATTTAGCTCAATGATAAATTTATGTTCTATAAAATCAGCAAAGCCGGGTATGTCTTATATACAGTCATGGGAAAAAGAAAGTACACCCTCTTTGGCTTTACATATCAGGACATAACAATCGTATATTCCTTAGCAGGTCTTAAATTTAGGTAAATACAACCTTAGCTGAACAACGCCTGACATACTACACTGTGTCATGATTTATGTAACAAAAATAAAGCCAAGGAGAGATCAAAAAAATTACAGGCACCGATATCCCCCTGGCACCCCTAACGATGCTTTTGCACCACACCCGAAGCCCACTGACAGCATACAAAAAATCCCTGGAACTGCCGCTACTCAATGCCGCCAAATCCCTTATCCCGAGGATGTGGAAACAGCCAAGAGCGCCCACCTTGGGGCAATGGATGTCAGTGGTAGAGGACATATACTCAATGGAGACCCTGACGGCCGACCTCCACGGGAAATCAGAGCGGTGTGCATTGACCTGGTACCCATGGACCACATACGTGGCAGATGGAACTGTAACCCCCGAGCCAATATAGCTGAAACTCACAGAACACCACGATAACTGCCTTACCCCTCATAAGCACAGACACGCCCTACCCATTAACCACACACAGACTACGGACAGTTTTCACACCCCCGACCACAACAGACATCAGGAAGACATAACACCCGCTAGAACAAACTACACAAACCACCGATACCTGGAGTACTCCAGGACGGACACCTTAAATACCCCCTACAGCTACTAGACCAGATACCGGTTCTCACCCTAAACGTAGAGTGCACATCATAAGTGCAACAAACTGCGCACTGAATGCAAGAGGAGCTAGGAGCCTTGAAACCTGATCATAAGTTACACTACCTAATGCATGTGAAGGAAACTATTGAAATATTGATGGAGAAGTCTGATTTGAGAATGTTAGTATAAAGGCTACGAATGTTGTTATGCTATTCAGAAATATGATGTTGCAACTGATGTTTCACCGTATCTACACATTTCTGTGACAAAATGATAAAAATGAAAATAAAGATTGTCAAAAAAAATAAATAAATAAAGCCAAAATGGAGAAGCTATGTGTAAAAACTAAGTACACCTTATGATTCAATAGCTCGTAGAACCACCTCTATCAACAATAATTTGATGTAATCATTTTCTGTATGACTTTGTCGGTCTCTCACATCGTTGTGGAGGAATTTTGGCCCACTCTTCTTTACAACGTTGCTTCAGTTCACTGAGTCTTTCTGGCATTTCTTTATGCACAGCTCTCTTAAGGTTCCGCCACAGCATTTCAGTTGGGTTGAGGTCTGGACTTTAACTGGGCTATTGCAACACCTCAATTCTTCTAATTTTCAGCAATTCTGTTGTAGATTGGCTGGTGTGCTTGGGATCATTGTCCTGACCCAATTTCGGCCAAGTTGTAGCTGTCAGACAGATGGCTTCACGTTTGACTCAAGAATACTCTGGTATACAGAGGAGTTCATGGTCGACTCAATGACTGCAAGGCTCCTAGTTTTTGTGGCTGTAAAACAAGCCCAAATCATCACCCCTCCACCACCATGCTTGACAGTTAGTATGAGGTTTTTGTGCTGACATGCTGTGTTTGGTTTTTAACAAATATAGAATTGTACATTCTGATCTGAGGACTGGATAGTCTGATCTGAAGTTAGAGGGAGGGAGATGGGCGTGCCTAAATAGAGCGTGTCTGCCACTTGAATTAGTGCAATGCAGTTTGATTGACTCATAGGTATGCCCTTTCTCAGTCCATCCGCTCTGCATGTGATCTTCTCCTGTCCGCTGCTTGCACCCTCACTACTAATTCGCGCTTGCAAGACTTATCATGGGTGGCTTATTTCCTCCTTCTCACGGGCGGCTCTCTCCCCTAGTTTTCAATCCTTTATGTAGTCTCTCAAAACCCATCTTTTCAGAAATGCTCATGGCCTCTCGGAGTAACTTCTGTTTTACAAATCTGTCTCTTGCTCTTTCCTAAGGTGCAACACTCCATTCTCACCTCCAATTCTGTTACAGAGAAATTATATACCAATTGCATATCAGACTGATTCCACCCACTAATAAATAAGAAAATAAATTAATAAATAAAAATAATAAAAATGTCTCTTCCTTTTCGTTATTATTTCCTTCAACGTCTCAGCCTCTCCGGACTATTTATTGATTCTGCAGATTAGTTTTTTTAAAACTTGTAATTGGGTCATTGCATTATCCTAGTTGGAATCCATTGTGACCCTATAAGTAATTTTATAATTTTTATTTACTTTTGGGCCTTTCTCATAACAGAAATGAACAGAGGAAATCTGTAGAAGTTGGGCGTCACAGTGAAAATTTGGCTATGTCAAATCCAGGTAAAATACAAACGAAACAAAAGTCTTCTTAGTAAAGTTATCACTGGAAAAAAGAATTATTAATTTGAATGTTGCAAATACTAATTTAATTAAATAATTTCTGTTTGTTTATATTTTATCCTACTCACTCAGCCATCACAGCTGTCCAAATATGGACAAAATCTATTTGGCAAATGCAGAGATGTAAACAGTTTGACCCAGAACTGAGGGATGGTGGACATAGACCTCTTGTGCCATAACCACTATGTTGATCTGTAGTGTTGTTGGTGTTCAAATTGCCCCTTTAATTAAGGAGTCCATTTCTAGCATATATTTAAGGAGTTATCCAGGCGACTAAACTTCAATAGTGATGTCCCGAACTGTTCGCCGAACGGTTCGCGAACTGTTCGCCACGGTTCGCCACGGACTCCAGTCAGCTGACACATTCCAGCCAATCAGCAGCATACCCTCCCTCCCAGACCCTCCCACCTCCTGGACAGCATCCATTTTGAAGCTGCATTCTTAGTGAGCTGTCCAGGAGGTGGGAGGGTCTGGGAGGGAGGGTCTGCTGCTGATTGGCTGGAATGTGTCAGCTGACTGGAATCCGCGCGAACCGTTCGTGGCAAACCGTGGCGAACAGTTCGCGAACCGTTTGGCGAACAGTTCGGGACATCACTAAACTTCAACCATACATGTAACCTACAGACAATTTATTATTATTGCGTTTTTCATCCATGATTTTGCAATAAAGAAAGCTTCAGCTTAATGAAGTGGTCTGTGTGCCAGGTCCATCTAGGATTAACCCTTTCTGCTGTAAACATAGTTTCAGAGAAAATGCTATGTTTACACTAGGGTTAATCCAGTCTCTAGTGGCTGTGTCATTGACAGCCGCTAGAGTCGCTTCAAAGCTTCTCACTGTGAGAATGCTTTCCCATGAGACTGGCTGAATGCGCATGCGCATTCAGCTGATGACGGGAAAGGAGGAGGAGAGTCCCCAGCGCAGATGGAGCCCGGCGCTGGAGAAAGGTGAGTGTTTAACCCCCTTCCTCCCTCTTCAGACCGGTGGGAGGGAGGCACTGAGGGTGAGGGGGACCCAAGGACCCTATAGAGCCAGGAAAACGAGTATGTTTTCCTGGCACTATAGTGGTCCTTTAACTCTAGTAGCAGGATGGATCGAGCAGGGATTAGATTAAAGAACTGGATCTGAAAATACACATGTGGGCCCAGAGGTTAGACAGGGCCCCCAAAACCATGAATTTACTTGGTCTCATTACTATATAAAGAATTAAGGGAGGCCCAAACTGGTAACCTGTGAGTACCTAATCTTTCACTCTGTGTGAGAATTCCCCATTGAAATCAGTTGGGCTTTATCAGTAAGTTTTCTATTTTTCTAAACGAATGATTAGGTAGATGGGTGGGAGCACTTAATGGGATAATAGCTAGTCACAAAGTGTTCATTTCTGCCATTCTTTTACTCTTTGGTCTTTCAGAGTCCCAATCCAGCTCGGTGCAGAATAATACTCTGGTAAGGCAAGATAGCCATCAAGAAACCCCTTCACAAATTTCTCCAACTACCACTGGCTCCAGGACCACCCAAGAAGTATCTCCAAGAAGGACAACTCAACGCCAGTCTCCGGCAGTCAACAACACCAGCTCTCAAAGTTAGTAATCTGGTTAGAACCAACATTTGTTAGATCAATCCTTCTATTCACCTAGCAGTCATCAAATATGGAAGACCAGTGTTAGCAATGGGTGAACAAATTGGTCACCTGGTGTTTTATTGCAGGCATCATTTCTGGTTATGTTTTTCAATGGTATAAACCATAGGTATTTAAAAGTCAGTTCTCCAACTGTGATAGACTTCCAAACTCATGATGCTTTGCCAGCCTTACAATTACATTTTCACCAACCCCGAATGTACTTGCAACACTGTAAAATGATCTCCTGTTAGCATTATACATATCAGATTAACATATAACCTTATGTCAATGACAATCATCATAATTCACTTTCATATTTCCAATCCTATTGGTGTAGATCAGAATAATGCTTCTCCCAGACAGCAAGCTAACGCCGTGGCGAGAGTTCCCCAGCCCACCTCGCGACTTCTCACACGGTAAGTTTAAATCTCAGATCTTACTTCTGATTTTGAAATAACTAGAACATACATGGACTTTAGGTTGAGATGTGTCAACAGAAGAGGTGTCCCATGTCGGATAGCTCTATCTTTATCAACATTAATGTAGGAAAGGAAATTAGACAGGAAGTGGACAACTCCTGATCCTTTTTGTTTGATTAAATGGGAAAAATATTTTAGCCAGTGGGGGAGGAGACTTGGGGAAGTTGCTTTTAGTACATCATCCAAAATCCTCAGACTATATGCAGCATTGTGCTGATCCTCACTCATTACATTAACCCTTTTACAACTCCACTGAAGGGATTTTAATATCTGTCTTCAGGATCACACCGGTTCCTTGGTGTTTCAGGAGTCCCCCAGCAATCCCCAACAATGTGGGACCATCCTGATTTAAAGGATGGTGTTTCTGGTGTCATGCATTTGGGGAAACCAGAGAACTGTCCCCAACAACATGAGCACATCTTTAGACACGCTCACATTTGCTGAATGGCATCAGCTAGGACTATGTAGAGAGTGTTTCAGCTGTGCTCGGAGCATGGTCTGGCCTTCGTACTGACTCCTAGCGCATGCCGCGGTAGGCTCGTCCAACCAATTCCACAACTCTACATGTATTAGGAGAAGAGATATGTGTCCTTGTTCCCCTCTGATTTCTGAATTTCACAACGGGGAGTTGGTAGAGATATTTTTTCATGTTGGGCAGCGGAATCAGTCCTTTGACCTAATTATATTGGCTCCCTTTATCCTAATTTGAATTTGTAAAGTCCAATTGATGTTATTTAAACCACATGGCAGTTAACTTCATATTGTATTTTTTTTTAATTAAAATTTGCTGTAATATATTTCTAGTGTACAAGTTTTTTTATTTTAAAAAATAGCATTGCATTTGAAATGTGGGATGAATTATTTGTGGACAAACCGTTGGACAATATAACAAACTGTAATACGACAGGAGAATTTGACTCACTGCTACTCTAACATGTCATCCCTCTGCCAGTCCTTACATTGGCTTCCTATACCCTTCAGGATTTAATTAAAATGGACTCTAATTCCCCAAAACCTCAAAAATCCCACTCCTCATTACAATTCCTCTTTAATTGACAAATACAACCCTCCTCGTTCCTTTTGCCTCTATGTGTGACCTTTTACCCATAGGATTTATAAACATTCCTATAGAATGCCTTACCTCACCCTTTTGGACTTTCCCCTATCTTCCAACCATTTAAGAAGTTACATTTTTAGGATAGCCAACCATCTTCTTTCATTACAATATCATTCCCGTCCCTCCACACTTAACTTGTGTTTTTGTTTGACTCTCTATCCTTCTAGTCTATTTTCCTCTTCACACCATTTACACAAACTTAAGTAGAAACAGTGGTTTTATCCATCACCCTCTTCTTCCCCCTTCTCCCATGACATGTTCATCCTCTTATGGTCCCCTTAACCATTTACATTTAGATTGTAAGCTCATTTTAACAGGGCCTGTAGCGGAGCTCCGATACCATGCATAGGTATCTCCGCTATTCCTTCCCTGTAGCTGAAAGAAGCACTGCAATAATCCAAGACCCTTTCCCCCCAGCAACTAGACGACACATACTTCTGGGAGTCGACTTATTTTATTTTGACCACACATGGCTTTTATGCACTGACCCCTAGCATGGGGTTTCCACATCAACATTACAAGGGTTATCCTCCCAGGAGTCTCTGTTTCTGAGAGATAATTGAGTGAGAAAACTATAATTGTATTATCTCTTAGATAAATAGAAAATATTACAATTCACCCTAAAAATACATTATAATAAAATAGGAACCCCAGAAATGGTATAGCATAGAATAGCTTGGGTCTGAGCGCCCACTTTGTCAAAATAGTGCTCAGATCCCTTCAGTGGTTTCAGAACACTATTCGAATAAAGTTTTAACCGGTCGACCACGAGGTGATGCCCCAAAACAGTTCCATAGAAAACAAGGCAACAACCGGTCATCTTTCGGGGGTTCTCACACGAACACCAACGAATGCTACCCCTGGCTGTTAGGGAGCAAATGCTCCTCCTGTGCGGTAGTGCATGCCTCCTGAACTCCGTTCTCATAACTGTTCAAGAAGTTGGATGGGCAGCGGTACAAGTTTCCTGCGTGTTCAAGGGGTTGCGTATCTGAGATATAGTTCCATGCCGTCGACGACCATGTACCGCTGTCGGCGATTGGGAGACAAAATGGCCGCCAATTCTTGGAGCATGTGTGTTTGTTTTTTTACGAACTACGGCCATGCAGGGTAAACACTTGCATTAATTATCAATTTGTGGTTAACAGCCAGGGGTGATCGGTAATCAGGAGGTGCGAACAAGGGGACCACACAGAGTTGGTTCGGTAAACGAACGGGGGGTGTACGGACAGCCGAACAACCAGGAATAAAAGTGTATTAGGGGATCCATTCCACTTCAGGGCCTTATTCACCTCTTGCATCAGTCGACATTAATTTTGTCTGTCAATTACTTGTTAAATAACTACATTGTATAATTGTAGAAGAGTTGCTATAATAAATGCTTATAATAATTATAAACTGGAGTAGGTTGTAATAGACTTATTAAACGATTGTAATCTAAAGTGGGAAACACCTTGCCATATGACTCTGGTGTGTGAATGTAGAGCAATTGCTATTATTACCGGTAACAAGGCAAAGTGAATGAAATGTTAATCAGTGTTACTGTCTCAATGCAGGAGAAACAGCAGGGGAATATGGATGAGAAAATCGAAACAAAGCTGGAAAAGTTGGAAAAGATGTGAAGGCCTTTGGATCCCTAATCACAAATTCTGACACTTAAGATGCAGAACTTTACCAGTTGGCCGACAGCAGATAAGAGAAATTAACAACTACCGAGTCCCTTTGAATCTTTAACAAGAAGCACAAGTTGAACTTTAATGGGGAAAAAATAGGCAGGGACAAGCATTTTATATGCACGTTTGCTTGAACCATCATTGGGTTACCATAGCCATAGAAGCCTAAATTCAGAATATATGACAAAAAGAAAATGTATTTGGCGCAAATGATTAATATATGTGCAATAAAGTGCAAGTACAAGCACAAATATCTTAAAATAGCATAAAATATTTTTTCTTACAATAAAACGTAAATAGTTTACATAAGGAAATAGAGAGAAAACCAAAAAGCACTTATAGTGTAGCATTTAATAAAACATGGGATAAAAACAGAAAATAAAACGGGCACTCATAATTGAATTACACAATATTGCAAGATTGTGGAAAAATCACATTACCCCTGACAACTGTCCTGAGCTCTTGAGAAAGTCCAGCGTTCGGACAAAACGCGTTGATCCAACGCAAAGTGAACTTCTGAATAACATTTTAAGTAAATGGTCTAGGAGTGAATCAAGGGGTGAATTTCTGGCTAATTGCAGTGAATCCAGGACACATTTCACCCAAAAGACCTTTATATCCACTTTAACAAAGACTATCTTCTATAGAAGCGAATTGGGAGAACTCCTGGACCTGCAGCTTATATTATCCTGGGCATAAGTCTCATTGCTCAATTCTCTGCCATTTAGAAGTTACATCGATTTTGTTTGTGTTTATTCAGCCCTAGCCACACCTCTCCTGGCTGTCACTCACTCAGTCTGCATGAAAACAAAATGGTTTAACTTTCAATCAGATATAAGTTACTTTAAAAGTTTTTATCTCCTTGTGACTAACTCCCCAGTCCTCGTGAGTTTGCCACGAGTTCCTGGAGGAGCCTGCTTGCCAGCCTCCTGCCCACAGACTATGGACCCTGTAAAATGTGATGTAAAAATCTCAGTTTGTGTATTTGGACTATATGGTTCGGGAACCTAGCAGCCGCACGAACCGGAGACCACCCTGGAGCTTGTTAAGCCTAATTGCTACTTTGTACACAATAACCTGGCTTGTATTCAGCTCATTGGAAAAATCTCAAAGCCAAGGAGGTGGTCATAACATACCCTGCTTACTAATTCATCGTGATTAGGGGAAGCATAGGGGAAGGCGACTGCACTGTAACAAGCCTGTGAAATGCAAGAGCAATTATTTAAAAGCACATTTTACTTAAATATATGGTGGTTCAGCGTTGTTTTGGTTAAATGAGACAAGGCTGCTAGTTATAATGTCCACCTTTTATCTTACACTGTCAAATATTAGTATTAATACACAGAAATGTGTTATTGTGTTTAGATCATGTGATGATGATGTAACATGGCCGCCAGTTTGAATTGTATTGTACCTATATAAGGAGTGTTGGTCCAGCTTGCTGTAACACTTTGAAAAAGCCACATTTGGAGAAATGCGTTAGTTACTTTTTGCTTTATATTTTATTGTTTTGTGTAGCTTATTGTGTATCAGAATAAAGTTAATCTATTTAAGACACTCTGGACCCTTCTGCTTCTACCCACTACCTGTTGGACGTCACTTTTTCTTGGTGGGGATATACCATCTAAGCTGTTTGGATTGAGAAAAACATATTTTAAGCTCTTTCATTTCATTTGCACTAAATAATATCACAGTATTCACTATACTTTTGATTTCTGTTTTGTTGCATATTATGCATACCAAGAGGACTTCCACTCATCAGCTATCTGAGGAGTGGCCAGTGGAGGTATCTCTAGGCTGTAATGTAAACACTGCATTTTCTTTGACAGACAGTGCTTACAGCAAAAAGCCTGAAGGTAATGATTCTACTCACCAGAACAAATTCAATACGCTGTAGTTGTTCTGGTGACTATAGTGTCCATTTATTTTAAAATACAAACCAAAGAGCTGACTTGGAGAACATTTTCAATTTTGTCAATTTTGTCAATTTTGTCTAATATTTGAAATCCATTTTGCAACAGAAAATGAAATATTAATAAAAAAAATTAAAAAAAAGAAAGAAAGAAAAAGAAAAGAAAATATTCAAATTAAAGAAAAATGTTCAGGGTGTTTATATTTGTGATACTAATTTGTACGTGCAGAATATTAATATTTTGTCAACTAATTGTAACAGGATGAAACAAGAAATACTGAGAAAAATATTGAGACATTTTGAGTTGAAACATTTAATACAGTTTTAAAATTATTAATATTAAAATTAAATTATAATACATTTTTCAGTTAACTCCTGTCGTTAAGCAAAAAAGTTACATTGCAGACGTCAATTTGTCATTTTTCACTTTTATCTCCATCCATAAATCTCCCTAACCCTGAGCTAGTTGGCATCTGAACCAAAGACTCTCTCTTTCTCCAATAAACTTTCAACTATCTCTCCAATCCTATCACTCATTTCTCTCCCTTATTCTCTTTGCTTTTTAACCTTTCGTTTTCTGTTCTTCTCCCATGAGCCACTCAAAATAAACCTCCTCACCATTTTCCTTCCTTTCCAAGAAATGACACGTTTTCATAAAAATCTGTATTATATTATATTTAATTTATTAAATGTGTGATGTTGTTCAACAATTTATCAATAAACATCTAACTATAAAATTATGATTTTCCCATCTTTGTCTTTAATTTCGCTAGTTCTTTTTTCAATTTTACGTTTTTTTCCATTTCTTTTGCCACACTGGCTTTGTGTTCGTTAATTTTTTGCTCCAAATCCTCTATTTCCTCATCTTTTTTTTCAATTTCTCTCTTCGATATTGCCCTGATATGCTTGACGGCATGCATTAGAAAGTCTTCCAGTGGGCTTTTACCCAGTTTCAAGAAAATGATGCGGTCCGCTTCCTCCAGGCAGATCTCCACAAATTTCAGAATATTTGTGTCTTTCTCCAAATTGCGCCTGGAATCTGTAGTCGTGTAGTTTTCGATGTGAATTACATGATTAGCTCCACGATTCTTAAAAATCCTTAACGTCTCCTGTGCCTGAATTTCCATATTTTTATATTTAGTAAGAACAATAATTGGAAAGATCCCTGTTAAAAGAGGAAGAGACAAAAAAACAACATTCATCTAAATACTAGAAAGCAGGAATCGAGAACATGCACAGAAATCATCCCGCCTGCGCTAGTTTTATGTTGAGCTAAACAGAAGCCAGGTTCTTGGGCAGAATTTAATGCAGAGAATCTACGATGTAAACTAGACATGAGTATGGGAAAACAAATTATTTGTTTTCAGAATGGTTTCTGTAATTCCAAAATTTGTTTCAGAAAAATTCTGCAATTATTGTTTCAAATGACATAACATTTGTCAGAAATTCAGACATCCGTTATTCCCTATAGGGAGCTGTTTAGTAGATAGCTCCCTAATCTGGTATCTTCAAGTAGGATCCCCCTATTTAAGGATAACAAATTAGGGCACCGTTTAGTAGGTGGCTCATTAGTTTGAAAAACATTTGAAATTATTCCCCTACTTAGGATACCAAATTGGCAAGCTGTTTAGTAGATGGCTCCCCTAATTTAGTTCCCTGAGGTGGGATTTCTCTAATTAGGATACCACATTAAGGCGCTATTTTGTTACATATATATTTATTTACATAGCTGAAAAAATTCCTTCTTGACCCCAAAATAGCAGTCAGATGTCTCCTTGGATCAAGCAGCTATTACCCAACTAATTAGAAATGATATCTCTGTATGTTATATATATATAACTGACTAGTTTATTAAAACAAAAAATGGAAACCTAAAAATAAGTCGCAAGAGAGAATACTGAGAAGAGAAAACAGCTCAATTAGCCTGCCCTTCGGTGGGTTCTCAGTACTCTCTAACACTCGCTATAATATACCGGTTAGAATCTGCACTGTGATTATTTTCCTTGTTCCTGCCAACTAGTGGATAAGGTAGGACACTACATTAAAGAAATGCTAACTGCATCCCAGCGCTACGAAATAATAACAACTGCAGGGACACGAGATAGCTGAGATTTATGTTTATTTACCACTGTTACGAGTAGGTTTTTTTTTGTGAACTGTGTGCATGCTGCTAAAGACACTTCTGGGACGAGGCTGTTAAAGGGAAACTAGTGTGAGAAATTAACCCATGTTTGTTTAATGCATTATATATCTCATGCATTAACAATAATACAAATATAAATATACAACATCCTTTGCAGAGGCACTGTTTAGTGCTTTTATTTTGCATCTCAGTTTTCAATTTACTACAGTTTGCTTCTTATTGAATAAGACACATACATTTTAAGAATTAAGCATTTCAAGGTCTTTATTAAAATGCCAGTTTCTGTTCGGCCTCGTTAATTCCTCGTTAACTGTACCTGTTATTTCTTTAGTCTCTGTCAGAAAAGGCAAGATTTGTTCAACGGTCTCATCGTTAAGAAACCATGCAGCACTGTAACAACAAAGGAGAAACAAATCAGACGAAATTTCTGCTGCAAAGCATGAATCTATTGACGTTTTATTCAAGTAATGACATATAATCAGCTGGCAAACAACATGAAGAATTTAGATCAAAGTAGCAAGCTTAAGAAAGAATAAACTCCACCATTTAGCCAAATGGTATATTTTTTCCAACCCCGCTTTTAGTTTGCTGTCAACATGCTACAACTCACTGTTTAGCAAATAAACCCTTAGCTGTGAGTTTTGTCATGGACCGTTAATCCAAATTATGAGATCTGAAAATGTATTGTAAATATAAACAGAAGGAAATGTATTCGCAATTTTTTTTCGTGCAATAAAAACTCTAAAGAGAAAAAATTTTTAAGCAATAAAGTGACCTAAGACATGCCTATAGTTGACTTCTCACTTGTAGAGTCATTCAGCGCCCTTATACATAGTCCCATCCTCTTTTATACAAACATCGCTGTGCTTTTCTAGTTAAATATGTTATATATTGGATCGATGCATATCTACAACACTGGTACATGGTAACATTCCCTCGCAGACGCATCTAAACCGGAAAAAAACAAACTAACAGGAAGTGTGTAAGTCTCAGCCAAGGAAGGTGCAGCCAAGCTGCATAAACAAAGTGATTTAACTCCTAAATGGCAGAGAATAGAGCAGTGAGAATGCAGCGACTTGATCTATACACCAAAACTGCTTCATGGAGATAAAGTTGTTTTGGTGCTTAGAGTGTCCCTTTAAAAAACTATATTTGATATTATACCTGCAAACAAGCACTGGCACGATTATCTCTGTTGGAGGATTGTTTAATCTTTCCAGAAAATTATTGATTGCATGCTCCAGATCATTATCCCAATTCACCTCTCTTGCACTCCGTAGCTTGCCTAAAAATGAACGAATCATGTTAGAAATTATTATTTATAAATAAAACACCAATGTGTAAAAAACACAGTCAGATTTCAGAGTCAATAGAAAATGTATTTCAAATGTAAAGCCAGAGTATCAGGACTGAGCAATGCTGGCTGACTTAGGGAATTTCTTCGCTTCAACTATTTTCACCTTAAATTTGAAATTCACTTTAAATTCTCACTTTGGTGATTAACCCTGTTTCTAGAAAGCAGAACCAATTAGCTAGCGTCTGGGATCTATGAGATCAACATTAAAACTTCCTTCTCATTAAAGGCTTCCAAATGCTTAGATATAAGGCTGGCAATGGACATAGTGTCATACAAACATAGATTACCAGTCGCTCCAGTGCGACCCTAACACACAGCTAGGCTTATCTGTCTTACCTTCCCCCACTCATTGATGCCTTGCTACTCTTTAAAAGGTCTTTCTGGGACCATTTTGGTTTCAAGTATCCTAGTGCTCATCTATAAACCTGCCCATGGGGCGGACTGGCGGCTTGCGGGGTCCTTGGGCGGTGGGGGGTCCCTTTCCTGGTGCAGGGTCTTTTGGCCACTGCTACTCTTCTCCCCTATCTTTGTGCTCTAACACAGATAATATGTGGCGCTACCCAGCATCCATAATGGCTGTGTTAGAGCCACACAGTCTTGACTCGCACACCCGCGGTAAATTCACACAGTCCCATCCATTCTATTTACTTACATAGTTGAGCTGTAACTTCATGATATTCGTCTTTGGTTAGTTTATTAACACCACGGTTATCTGAGATGCACACGTCTCTTTGCAGTTTAAATTCTCTTCTCTCCATGGTAATCGGATTACTGGATTTTCCCGCATTCGCCACATTCTCGAATTCCTTGTCATACATGACGCACACACAGGAGTTAATAAGGGATGATTTACCGTGTCCTGCCATCCCAAAGAGCTGCACACATACTCGTCTGTATCCATGTCCTACCAGATATCGAGTGGACCCAGGGGTGTATTCAGACAGCCTCTTCCGTATCTCTTGATTATTAGCAGATACTGCCATATTTTACTGTAAGGAAAGGAAAAAAAAAACTTACATAGAACAGGCAATATAAACAAAATTACCCATATCCCATCTTTCAGTCATAAAGAGAAACCCCCAATTCTGGAAGACACCCTTAAAAATCTGTCATTTAATAGTACGAGAAAAACATTTCAGACCTTCATGTTTAACCCCTTAAGGACCAAACTTCTGGAATAAAAGGGAATCATGACATGTTACACGTCATGTGTCCTTAAGGGGTTAAAGCTATTTTAATAAAATAAGTATTAATAAAAAAAAAATTAAGGGCAAAAAGGCCTTCAACTAAAATCCTCCTGTGTTTCCTGATTCCCACGCCAGTTTCTAAATGATTGTACCACCCGACTGCCATGCCGGACAATCTGCGTTTAATTTGTTGATAATTAAGCGGACACTCTAAGCATCAAAACAACCGTAGCTTAATGAAGCAGTTTTGAAGTATAGACGCTGCAGAATTCTCGTTCATTTAGGAGTTAAATCACTTTTCCCCTCAGTACATTCTCTGCCTATGCGTTTTACATGAAACAGCGCCAGAGCTTATCTGCATTTTTTCTACTTAGTGCAGGAACTAATAAATAGTGGGTTCTTGTGCAAGAATTGTGTGGGGGCCCTCTACAGAGCAGGAGTAGCCAAAAGGTATATCATTAATGGCCATACAACTCCCACATTAAACTAGCTATATACACCTCGTTCCTCCGTATTACAGCATTAACTAGCTATATACAGTACCTTCCTCCGTATTACAGCATTAACTAGCTATATACACCCCATTCCTCCGTATTACAGCATTAACTAGCTATATACAGCCCCTTCCTCCGTATTACAGCATTAACTAGCTATATACAGTCCCTTTCTCCGTATTACAGCATTAACTAGCTATATACACCCCGTTCCTCCGTATTACAGCATTAACTAGCTATATACAGTCCCTTTCTCCGTATTACAGCATTAACTAGCTATATACACCCCGTTCCTCCGTATTACAGCATTAACTAGATATATACAGTCCCTTTCTCCGTATTACAGCATTAACTAGCTATATACGGTCCCTTCCTCCGTATTACAGCATTAACTAGCTATATACAGTCCCTTCCTCCGTATTACAGCATTAACTAGCTATATACGGTCCCTTCCTCCGTATTACAGCATTAACTAGCTATATACGGTCCCTTCCTCCGTATTACAGCATTAACTAGCTATATTCGGTCCCTTCCTCCGTATTACAGCATTAACTAGCTATATACGGTCCCTTCCTCCGTATTACAGCATTAACTAGCTATATACGGTCCCTTCCTCCGTATTACAGCATTAACTAGCTATATACCGTCCCTTCCTCCGTATTACAGCATTAACTAGCTATATACGGTCCCTTCCTCCGTATTACAGCATTAACTAGCTATATACCGTCCCTTCCTCCGTATTACAGCATTAACTAGCTATATACAGTCCCTTTCTCCGTATTACAGCATTAACCAGCTATATACGGTCCCTTCCTCCGTATTACAGCATTAACCAGCTATATACGGTCCCTTTCTCCGTATTACAGCATTAACCAGCTATATACGCCCCTTCCTCCATATTACAGCATTAACTACCTATATACAGTCCCTTTCTCCGTATTACAGCATTAACCAGCTATATACAGCCCCTTCCTCCATATTACAGCATTAACTAGCTATATACAGCCCTTCCTCCATATTACAGCATTAACTCGCTATATACAGCCCTTCCTCCATATTACAGCATTAACTAGCTATATACAGCCCTTCCTCCATATTACAGCATTAACTCGCTATATACAGCCCTTCCTCCATATTACAGCATTAACTAGCTATATACAGCCCTTCCTCCATATTACAGCATTAACTCGCTATATACAGCCCTTCCTCCATATTACAGCATTAACTAGCTATATACAGCCCTTCCTCCATATTACAGCATTAACTCGCTATATACAGCCCTTCCTCCATATTACAGCATTAACTAGCTATATACAGCCCTTCCTCCATATTACAGCATTAACTCGCTATATACAGCCCTTCCTCCATATTACAGCATTAACTAGCTATATACAGCCCTTCCTCCATATTACAGCATTAACTCGCTATATACAGCCCTTCCTCCATATTACAGCATTAACTCGCTATATACAGCCCTTCCTCCATATTACAGCATTAACTCGCTATATACAGCCCCCTCCCACCCCTGATGTTACAGCATTAAACTAGCTATAAACAGCCCCTTCCTCTGTATTACAGCATTAACTAGCTATATACAGCCCCTTCCCTCCGTATTACATCATTAACTAGCTATATACAGCCCTTCCCTCCGTATTACAGCATTAACTAGCTTTATACAGCCCCTTCCTCAGTATCACAGCATTAACTAGCTATATACAGCCCTTCCCTCTGTATTACAGCATTAACTAGCTATATACAGCCCCTTCCCTCCGCATTACAGCAATTACTGGCTATATTCAGCCCCTTCCCTCTGTATTACAGTATTAAACTAGATGTTTTATTACTTGTTGCAGTATAAAATTATTTATATGAATCATACTGTGTTTACAGCTTTGAAAACTCACCCTTGGCTAGTGAACCTCGTTGTCCAGCCAATACTCAAAACGACGTTTACTCATAGTGAAAGTAAAAGTTGAATTTCTAAAATAGTTTGTACCAGGAAACAAACTGTAACCACCCAGTCTGAAACTGATGATATAAAGCATGAATTACACAGTAAGGGAAAAAAGACTTTCTGCTCAAAAACATTATTTAAAGGGACACTATAGTCACCATAACAAATATAGCTTAATGTAGTTGTTCTGGTGAGTAGAATCATTACCTTCAGGCATTTTCATGCAAACACTGCCTTTTCAGAGAAAAGACCGTGTTTACATTGCCCACTAGGGATACCTCCTGTGGCCACTCTTCAGATGGCTGCTAGAGGTGCTTTATGGGGCAGTGCTGCACAGTAGGCAGCACTGCTGTTCTGCATCTCCACACTCTGCATGGGGACGCTGAATTTTCCTTATAGAGATGCATTGATTCACTGTATCTCTATTAGGAGGCATTTGTCGCCCCCCACCCCACCTTCTTGACAATTTTAGCCAATCCAATGCTTTCTCTATGAAAATTCTGATTGATGATGATGTCACCAAGAAGACAGCTCAGGTTGGGGCTACCACTGGAATTAAGGCGCCTTTTAAGCCCTTCTAAGGGGACAGAGGGGGGAATAAGCCATCCATAAGTTAATTTTAACACTATAGGGGTTCCTAAACCTATAGTGTTCCTTTAAGTTTAGTCCAATTTTTCTGTTCAGTATTACATCCATAAAAATATGTGACTGCGATTTCTTCCCCTCATTATTTCTCACACAAAAGAGACAGTGTACTCAGAAATGCTGATCACGGACCGGGATAGTCACTGAGGTGAGAATTCTCGAGAAATCAACGTGAGTTTTAAAAATAAGGATACAATAACTGAATTGGAATAAAAGTCATCTATGTTTCCAGCTCACTTTCCCCTTACATTTGAAATTCAGTTTGAATTCTCAACAATTTTCACTTTAGTGAATAATCGTCTATATACTTAAAAGTTTAGTAGTGGGATTCCATCACTGTAGCCCGTGGAGCAGCATAGAATAGGGGTATGTATGGATTGGCTATGTGGATATTGGGGGTAGGGTTTGGGTAAGGGGAGTATATATAGGGGGCCATCTTACTTAATCCTCACTTACCTGTTGTTGTGGCAGGTCGGTGTGGTGTCTCTGTTTTTGTCTTTCCAGTACATCTTGCTGATTGAAGATGGAGGAGCTGTTGGCTGGAGTCTGGAATGCTGTGCTGGAGAGGGGAGTGGAGTGGCTTCAAGGACGTCTAGGAGATGCTTTGCGCCCAGCCGGGCCTTCGTCTTTGTCCCAGGGAAGTCGACCCGCTAGGAGGACCAGGCCGCTGCAGCGTTTGAGCTCCAGCAAGCAGCCCGGTGGTTGGAGGGGCAGGAGCTGTGAACCTGGACGGTCGCATGTTCTCTGTGCTCTGTACAATGCTACCCAGTAAAGGCTGAAATTGGGCAGAACGCTACCTTATAAACTCACTGAAACCAGCCCCCTGAGGATCAAAAATGGGTCATAAAAAACAAAAAGCCCAAGCCAGGCAAGAGTCCACTGAGCCGAGATATTGGCGATCTATTTCGGGGCTCACAAGGTCGCATGGGACAATAAGGCGCATGCGGACGAGGGCTCTTCATATTCCTCGGACGACATTGTTATTGCCCCGATGGGAAGAGCCTCGCTCACCACGAAACAGGGTCTTTCCCCACTGAAGGCGGTTGCAGCCCAACTTGTTGGCTGAACTCCATGCGAACATAGTGGGAGACTTAGCCCCCTTCAAGAAGGCCGTCAAAAGTACAACCACTAAAATGGCCCAACTTGAAACCCAGAGCGCTCATGACAGCCGGCTTACAGTGGTGGAGAAAGGCCTGGCTGCCCTGGATCAGCACCAACTAAAGGTCGACAACAGGATCGACGCCCCTGGAAGATCCGAGGCAAAGATATAATTTGAAACTCATGAAGGTGCTAGAAACGGTGGGTCTGCCGGACTTGAAAAAAATGGGGGATGGGTCTGCGCCGATGTGTACACTGAGTGTTGAGTCCAATGTATATTGTCGTGTCCAAAGTTCTACTTTTGGTGGGGTTCAGAAGGTACGGTATCGTGGAGAGTAGTCCAAATATAAGAAGTAGAAGAGATCTTACTTACAATTAACAGAGCTTAACCCAGCTCTGGTGTGGATAGCTTGCAGCGGTATTATCCCCGCTTACAGGATATTCGGCAGGTATCCTCTTCTTTGTAGTAGCAGGTGGCCGTAGTTGGGGAAGATAAAATGAAGACAGTAATGGTGCAGTATGTTCTACACTGATAAAAAATATAATAAAATATGGTAGATACACTCACATTCGATAGAGCTTAGGCTAGCTCTAGTTGGTTAGGCGTACAGCGGTATCATCCCCGCTTATGGGATATATGAGGAGTGATCTTGATCGGAGTATCAGGAGCTCGAAGAGAAGGTAAAACAGCGATAGTGCTCTCAATAAAATCTTGAATGGTAAAATAAAATAATAAAATATACTCACAGTGTATAGGGCAGGCTAACTGCTCTATGTAACAGCGTAGGTGGTATAATCCCCACCTGGGATTCTTGGAGTATGGTATACAGGACTTAAAATAATAAAAAATATATATATATATAAATAAAAAATAGAAAGTTATTAAAATAGCCAGGTAATAGAAAAGATGATGGTTTATACGTAAAAATGACCAAAATCTTTTATTAACAATATATAAAATAGTATAAAATATCCAAACGCGTTTCACCAATGTAAGGCTTTATCAATGGATAACAAACAATTCTACCTGGCTGGTTAGGGTTTATATAGGTATAAAATAATTGTAAAATTGGCGCCAAAATTGTACAACCAATAGTTAAACAGATCTATACACTGTGAGTATATTTTATTATTTTATTTTACCATTCAAGATTTTATTGAGAGCACTATCGCTGTTTTACCTTCTCTTCGAGCTCCTGATACTCCGATCAAGATCACTCCTCATATATCCCATAAGCGGGGATGATACCAATGTACGCCGAACCAACTAGAGCTAGCCTAAGCTCTATCGAATGTGAGTGTATCTACCATATTTTATTATATTTTTTATCAGTGTAGAACATACTGCACCATTACTGTCTTCATTTTATCTTCCCCAACTACGGCCACCTGCTACTACAAAGAAGAGGATACCTGCCGAATATCCCGTAAGCGGGGATAATACCGCTGCAAGCTATCCACACCAGAGCTGGGTTAAGCTCTGTTAATTGTAAGTAAGATCTCTTCTACTTCTTATATTTGGACTACTCTCCACGATACCGTACCTTCTGAACCCCGCCAAAAGTAGAACTTTGGACACGACAATATACATTGGACTCAACACTCAGTGTACACATCGGCGCAGACCCATCCCCCATTTTTTTCTGCTCCTACCATTTGTATTCCAAGGACACTAGAGGGAATCCTTGTTTGGGACTGCTGCCTCTCTGACTAGCGCTGACTCAACCCCCCGCTTTGGTCTGCCGGACTTACCTCACTTTGTCGTGTATAGACTTGGCTAAGATTAAGATGTTCCCACCCCGAGACGCAAGACCCACTTCATCCACCAGAACTGTGACCTGACTGGAAGACTATCGGGCCCCAGCGGCTGCTGTGCCCTTACCCAACATCCCCTACACATTACATTTTCATAGATCACATGACTATTGTTGCTTTCTCCTCCTCCATAGCAATCTCTACTGTAAAATCTTACTCCTCTCGTGAGTTTTCATCTAGTGGGGATACGAGGAAGGGTACTACCACTGCAGTTTCACTCGAGATAGGAGCTACTGATCGAGCCCAAACCCTCCAACTTCTGTACACGTACCATCCAAGCACTTGGTGGCTATAATATCAACAAACTCCACCCCATTCCTTCCCTAACGTTAGGGTGGCATTCAGGCCCTGTGACTTCTACTTTAGGGAAGGACACACCAACCACGGAAACAACTAGCACCTGTATTACACTTATGACACGTAATCCTGTGGTACTTTCACTCACACGACCCTTAGGCAGGTTTTCTAATCTAAAAAACAAACATAAATGCTAACTTTTTTAATGCTATTTAATTAACATATTTTCCACATACGTTGTGCCAGTTTTGCCATTTTATTATGTACAACCTTAGAAATACTTCATCTTAGGTATGATATACTTTTATAAAAACTATAGATACAATCTATTATGAAGCTTGAAAATGTACAAAGATCGCCACAAGGTTAATAATAATCAAACTCACAAAGTTATGCACTTTGGCGTAAAGAGTGCACAAGCAACTTATACCCTTAAGGGAAGCAAATTAGGGATAACAATAAACGAAAAGGACTTGGGAATTGTTATAGGCAACAAACTATGCAACAATGTGCAATGTCAATTAGCAGTGGCCAAGGCCAGTAATGTAGCCCATGGATCAGCGCAGCTAAGAGGAATAGGCCTTGACAGAGCCAGGAGGTAGGCATAGCAGCCACAGGAATTTAGTGACAGCTAGCATGCTGGGTAGGGGGGAGCCATAAGGGGAGTATTTATACCAGCCATTATATGAAGTGGCCATTTTAACTGAACCTAAGCTTACCTGTCAGTTGTGAAAGCTGCCTGCCCTGGAGGGAGAAGGCAGCAGCATGGAGGCAGCATAGCAGAACAGGCAGCATGGAGGCAGCATACAGGCAGCATGGAGGGCAGCATGAAGAACAGGCAGTACTGAGACAGGAGGCAGCATGGAGGTACAGGAGAGGCTGGAGTGAGCTGCTACTACATGATCACTCCCATCAGCAGCATGGAGGCAGCATAGAAGAACAGAGGCAGCATGGAGGTACAGGAGACAGCATGGAGGTACAGGAGAGGCTGGAGTGAGCTGCTGCTGCTGCTGCATGCTCACTCCCATCAGCCTCAGACAGAACTCCAAGCAAGCCACCATCCTGGTCACAAAGGTTGTGGCAGAATCGGGGCTGGTGGCTGCAGGAGCAGCTGGGGGGCCCCGAGCACGTCTGCTACCCCCCCCCCCCCACGCGGCGGTGGAACAGAGGCCAGCAAGGAGAGCGAGGACGCCCCAGCGGCAGCCTGTGAGTGACATCGTTAGTTCGGCAGCCCGTGAGCCTGTCAGGAGGCGGCAAGGGGAAGGCTGAGAATGAGGTCGGAAAGCAGGCAGGAGTTGGAGGGCGGCTGGCGCCGTATGTTCGACGCGGCGCCGGTCAGGCAAGACGGCAGGTCAGGATGAGGCCGCACAGTAAGAGCGCCCCCTGCAATAAGGCGGGGGGGCGGGAAAGCACAAAGGACGGCGGAATCCAGCATGACATGATGGCCGCCAGGCAGGAAGAGCTGCAAGAGGCGTCCTGGTGAGTCTGCCCCTGGTGGCATACCTGAGTGACAGGGGGAATGATGCAAGGGCCCAGCAGTGTAAAAGCGGTTCCCCCCCCCCCAATGGGCAGGCGGGGGGGTCCAGGTCGGCGGGACACAGACGGAGGCGGCCCTGGATGGGGCCAGGGTCAGGTCAGAGGTGAAGGAAGCGGATAGTGAAAGCAGCAGGCGGAGTCTTCACAGGCACAGCAGAGCAGCTATGGAGGGGAAGGCCAGCAACCAGGATTAATTAAAGGGGCCACAAGTGGATGAGGCGGCCTGGGAGAGGCCAGGTACTGCAAGCAGAGGGCAGACGAGAGGAAATGGACGTAAGGCACAGAGGCAAGCGGGAGCCCCCTGGGGGGTGTTCTCAGGAGCAGGAACACAGGAGGAGCATCAGCAGGTGTGAGTACGGCAGGGAGCAGCGCAACGACAATGACAGGCACAGCAGCAGCGGGAGGTCGGATGAGGGATGGAGAAGCAGGTCGAGGAGTGTTACTTCTACGGGCTTGAGGCTGGACCAGCGCGGACAGGAGTCGGCATCCACCGGATACTCCAGAGCCTGGCAAGGTGGATGGAAGGACAGCGCAGACGGAGGTTCGGGCGGTGAGTCCATAAACACACCACACTTTTTTAAATTGCATAAATCATTTTAGAGTCATGATCAAGGAAAAAAGGGGCTGTCCCCGCAGTGCCGAAGGGTGGGGTCACCAGAGCGCAGTCGGGAGGCCGAATGAAAGGGTGGTGGTGACGGCGTGCCGGGTAAGGGAAGGGGAATACGGTGTACCGGTACCGGGGACATCTGACGGGCAGGAGAACAGTTAGATGTGTGGCAATATTCCAGGCGTGGCACAACAAAATGGGCACGTGTCCTTCGCGGGGACATTGGGGGGCACTTGAAGGTGGAGGATAAGATTTGATAAAGGGGATTTAAAAAAATAAATAAATATATATATATATAAAAAATTCCTGTCTTCTGCTCGAGGAGTTCATTGATTTAAAAGGGGTGGTTCCTAATGATAGTGCAGGAAATGCGCTCTTTCCGGGGGCTGACGGCGCACCCCCAGGAGGTGCTGTGCTGGCTGGACAGAAGAAAGGTCAGTACAACTGGGGACCGTCGGGTAGGCTTTGATACGGGTGTTCCGGAGGCGGTGGGAGTCACGGTGTCAACTGACGCGTCAAAAAAGGAAAACCTAAGGCAGGAAGGGTACTCGGCAGGGCTTCAGCCCCGCGGTTGCGGCTCGGAGCGGCACCAGTGATGATCAGTGCATTGCTACTGTGGCTAAGGCAGTAAGCCTCCCATGAATGCGCTAGTTTTATGGCTGAGATTGTTGAGGGGGTTTACGCTATTCCATTCAAAGTCGAGGGACCAGGAAAAGTGGTGGGCGAATATCAAGTCCATGGGGGAACTTCCGCGCCATTAGCGGACCTGTGGGTGTCTCCATGGGGGTGGTCCCCTAGAAATGGGCGGGCAAATTCTGTCCAATACAAAACTTATCGCACCCAAAAGGGGCATCGGTAAATGAGGACATCGCCGCGGAACTGTTCTGTATCGTTGGCATCATTCGGCCTTGCCGTCGAGTTGGTTTGGGGGAACAGGACGCGTTCGATTATTGGCGACCCTTCCATCTTTTGGGTTGCATGTTTGCAGGTTCCTATTGGTAACCTCTACTTGCCAAGGGGCAGTTCCATTCATGTTCCTACTCGGGAAGTTGGATCCGTCTGGGAGTGGGAGGTGAAAAAGGAATCAGAAAGGGGTTCCTTAGTACATTATCTGTAAGATAGCTTGCTGTGTGGGCTCGGCTGGGCCGGGCCGTTGTGGACATACCTTACGGTCACGGGAATCCTACCGCACGTCTTTGCTTGGACTGGAAATTGTTTCGGTGGTAGGTGAGTGTCGATTTCCTGGGGTTCAGTTGACTGCACTTCGGGAGTTCAGGCTGAAGGTTCGCAGGTCCAAGAAGGTCACTGAGAAATCGCAGTTGTTCATAAGGCAGTTTCAAGTTGCATGTCGGGTTAGTCGCGAGGACTGGGTCGGTAGCCATTTCATGGCGAAGGCTACTTGTGGAGCCTTTGCGGGTGGTATCGAGTTGTTCACAGATACCTCTGGGAACATAGATTCCGGGGCATACCTGGAAGGCAGGTGGTGCGCAGAGCGGTGGTGGGAGGCATGAAAGGTAAGTCCTCTTATTCGACGTTGGCATCTTTTGAGTTATTTCAATTGGGAGTGGCTGTGGCTCTAAAAGGTGAAGGATTAAGGGATGAAAAGTCATAATTCACGCACAATACGGCGGGGTTCGTGTGGTTTACCATCCAGCCGGGTCCTCGGTTCAGGAGGTACGCCGATGGCGGCGATTCGTATCACTGTTCAGGTATCGGGTGCAGGCACGCCACGTGCCTGGTTGGCGGAAGGTAGGGGCTGGTTACTTGGCTCGCGCACAAGGGGACAAGCTGCGAATGGCGGCCCCAGGGGGCGCGGGAGGAGGGACTGTCCAGTCTGGAGGAAATGTGGCAGCTCGAGACGCCATGCTTGGAGGATCGATACAGAATCCTATCGCACCGGGCAGAGGGACTGCCTATGTGAACGTTTGAGATATGTGGGACAAGGCGGTTGGTTTCACTGTGGGGGCCCAGTCAAAGGAGGGGCGAAGGGATACCTTGCTGTGGTTCCTAAGCCGTTTGTTTGTTCAGCGTTAGCTCCATCAGCAATGGACAGGAGCATGGTGGCATTGTCGTTAGGGTTTAAACTGACTGATTGGGAGGAAGTGACGGAACGTTGTCACGTCCGTCAGGCATCGCGGGTCTTACGGAGAGATATGAAATATGTCGGTGCCGGGCGGCGGGTTTCCTTGGGTAACGCAACGCCTGGTGGTGTATTACCCTACTTTTGCAGTGAGTTTGCTTGCGGTGGCCTTCTCGGAGGCTTGGGGCAATTTGGATTGGGGAACTGGTGAGTGCCTTCGGGCAGGTGTTGGGGAGTTCTACACTTGGTTGTCGAACCTTAGTCGGTTAAGGTAACGATTCAGTAGGGTTGTTCAAGAACGAATGTGTCTGGTAAAGGAGGTTTGGTAAAGCTATATTCCCTGCCGGGGTCAGGGGTACGCCCGGTGTTAAGCGCATCATGCTACTTGGAGCTTTGCCCGGACATCCCGGGTGGCTTACTGGTAAAAGGGGACAGATCGGTGCTGTCACGATTCAATTCCCGCAGGTGTTTGTTCGAAGGGGTTTGACAATGTTGGGTTTGGATCCCGGGCACTTTGGGACCCATTCTTCCCAGGTGATGGCGGTAACAGAGGCACCCCACCTGGTTTTAAGTGAGGACCTAGGGAAACGTTTAGGCAGGTGGGAGTCAGTACGGTTTAAGTCCTGTTTCAGGCCAGTCTATTTGGTTTAATGGCTATGGACGTATGGGTTTGTGTTTGGGGCTATGCCGTGTCGCTAATTACTTTCGTTTCAGGTTTGGTGACATGGTTGGTGGGTCATTCTTATATCTAAGGGGCACAGATGGGAGCCGCGTTTCAGTTCAAACGTAACTGGGCTTTCCTTTGAAATTGGTGGAGCAGGAGTGGTTTTGTTTTTCAGGGATTTTGGTGGCAAGACATTAGGGGAGAAATTTTTCCGGGAGGTAACAAAGGGTACTTTCCAGGACATTCTGGATATTGACATGGTCCCGGAAAAGGAATTGATCAGGTGGAGGCAGAGGGAGGTGGACCAGCTATGGGAGCTGGCCACGGGTGTGGTGGTGGTGCGGTCCAAGATGGTTCCTTGGTTACATTGGAGACATACTACGTACCCGGCCGTGGTAGCTCGGTGTCGAGGAAGACTTAATAAAAAATTGATGGCGGAATTTATCAGATGTGGGGGCGGTGTAACAGTGAGACACAACGAATTGGGAGGAAAGCTCCCTGGGTACTCCAGGTGGGATGGGGTACATTTTTGGATGTAAGGTGTGATCTGTTTAAATTGGGCCTTCAGGAAGGCATTCAACAGGCCTTATTCCGGTGTGGTGGGGGTCGTTCAGGAGCTTTAGGTGTCAAGTCCTGAGCTGTGGCGGGGAATGGCCTGGTTAAATCGGAGGGTAGATGGAGGAGAAAGTGGGCATCCTGAGGTTTAGTGTGGATTGGGCAGTGTTGCACGTGGTTGGTAGGTTCGAGCCCGTCGGTGGCTCCGAACCTGGGGGTGTGGTGGTGTCTTGGTACACCCTACACTGGAACTGGTGGGTAGCGGTGTCTTGGTACACCCCTACAATGGATATGGTGGGTAGCGGTGTCTTGGTACACCCCTACAATGGATATGGTGGGTAGCGGTGTCTCGGTACACCCCTACAATTTAACCTGGTGGAAATGTGGTCAAATTGGACGGCCAGTTTCTGTGTTAACATGTTATTTATATTGTTATCTATTGTTATTATTGTGGGGTCATTGCTAGGGGTATGTTATGTATATGGGGGAGGTTAACATTATTAAGATTTGTTGGCAATGACCCCATTTGTTATTCCTTAATTATTTATTAATAATTTAATAAAGCTGTGGACAAATTATTTCCAACAGTATAACCTGTGTCCGTGTTTTAATGGGGGTTGGGGTAAGGTTAGCGCATATGCCGGCAAACCCGACTGTGCACCTGTCATGTAGCCCATGGATCAGCGCAGCTAAGAGGAATAGGCCTTGACAGAGCCAGGAGGTAGGCATAGCAGCCACAGGAATTTAGTGACAGCTAGCATGCTGGGTAGGGCGGAGCCATAAGGGGAGTATTTATACCAGCCATTATGTGAAGTGGCCATTTTAACTGAACCTAAGCTTACCTGTCAGTTGTCCCTCCCACCCTCCCTGTATTTGGTTAGGTTAGTTGATTTCCCGTTTTTTCACAGCGGCGGGGAATGGCCTGGTTAAATCGGAGGGTAGATGGAGGAGAAAGTGGGCATCCTGAGGTTTAGTGTGGATTGGGCAGTGTTGCACGTGGTTGGTAGGTTCGAGCCCGTCGGTGGCTCCGAACCTGGGGGTGTGGTGGTGTCTTGGTACACCCTACACTGGAACTGGTGGGTAGCGGTGTCTTGGTACACCCCTACAATGGATATGGTGGGTAGCGGTGTCTTGGTACACCCCTACAATGGATATGGTGGGTAGCGGTGTCTCGGTACACCCCTACAATTTAACCTGGTGGAAATGTGGTCAAATTGGACGGCCAGTTTCTGTGTTAACATGTTATTTATATTGTTATCTATTGTTATTATTGTGGGGTCATTGCTAGGGGTATGTTATGTATATGGGGGAGGTTAACATTATTAAGATTTGTTGGCAATGACCCCATTTGTTATTCCTTAATTATTTATTAATAATTTAATAAAGCTGTGGACAAATTATTTCCAACAGTATAACCTGTGTCCGTGTTTTAATGGGGGTTGGGGTAAGGTTAGCGCATATGCCGGCAAATCCGACTGTGCACCTGTCAGGTATTGTCATGCATTAAAAAGGGCATTAATTCTTGGGTTTCTTTACTCTAAGAATAATAAGGATGTGGAATTCTCTGCCTGAGGAAGTGGTTTTATCAGAGTCCATACAGATGTTCAAACAGCTACTAGATGCATACTTGCAAGAACAGAATATTCAAGGATATAATCTTTCAATGTAGGGTAATAACTGCTTGATCCAAGGATAAATCTGACTGCCATTCTGGGGTCAAGAAGGACTTTTTTTCCTAGCTTGTTGCAAAATTGGAAATGCTTCAAACTGGGTTTTTTGCCTTCTTTTGGATCAACAGCAAAAAACAAATGTGAGGAAGGCTGAACTTGATGGACGCAAGTTTCTTTTCAGCTATGTAACTATGTAACTATTAATTTAATTATTTTTTTTTGTAAATATCTTTTTATTAAACCTTTCGTTTTTGTTGATTTTGCAACATGTAAAAGAGAAATGTGGACTCGCAGGTCCCTCTGGTAATTAATTTTTTTTTTATATAATTTTTAATAAGTAAGTCGCAGGACACAGTTTACAATACAGCTTGGGCTATACACAAAGTAATGCTTCATAACATTGTATAGAAACCAATAGAATATGAAACAGACCGTATATAATTACATCCAAAGTAATATTACATAGTATTAAGAGTAGGTGTCTAGCGCAATGATAACATTACCCAAAAAATTAAGAAAATTAGGTGATATATAAAAATGAATAGAGTGATGGGGTACTGTGTGACATTATAGTATTAAATACTATTCCTGTCTGACTCCACCCCTGCTCTGCCTCCTTGGCTGAGATCATCAAAATTGACAATCTCCACCAATCCAATTGTCTCTAATAGGAAAGCATTGGGAGGCTAAAGCGCATGTGTGGCAAAACGCTGCGCTCCACCAATCAGCATCTCCTCATAGAGATTCATTGAATCAATGCATCTCTACAAGGAACATTCAGAATCTCAATGCAGCACTGACTCAGGAAGCACCTCATTTGTTGTACTGAAGACACATGCTTCATATTTCAGAAAACTAAAAGTACAGTATTTTGTTACAGCAAGGGCAGTAAATATGGTGCATTCACTGGGGAAGCTGGGTGACACAATAAATATACTCTAGATCAGGCTTCCCCAAACTCCGGCCCTCCAGATGTTGCTGAACTACATTTCCCATGAATCTCAGCCCATCTATTTCATTCATAGAATCATGGGAGTTGTAGTTCAGCAACATCTGGAGGGCCGGAGTTTGGGGAAGCCTGCTCTAGATTAAGTAATTGCTATTGTAAGAATATGAGCCTGAGAGTGGAAATACTAATTACACAGAATTCTGCCAGGAGCCTGATTTTAATACGGCAGCCATTTTGTGTTCAGTAAGCTGTGTCTGGAAGCCATTTTGTGTTCAGTAAACTGTGTCTGGAAGTGATTTTGCATAAAAATTTAAAGTAGGGATTGGGCCTTTTTTTAACTACTTCCTTTTATGGTTCTTTAGGTTCTTTAGGCTATTAATCTCTTCTTTCAGTTTTGCTCTCTCTGATTGAATTAGCAAATTTACTCCTTCATTGATTTTTATTTGCTTTTGCAGCTCCTGTATCTTGGCCTCTTTTTCTTTGAGTTTGTCCTTAACCAATTCCTTGACCTGTCTCATGGCTTCATTAAAAAATTCTATGTTATTATTTTCGTGCTGCTTCATGTCGATCGCTTGATCGGCTTTCTTCATGCAGACGTCCAGGAAATCCAGGATTTTGGTGTCCGTCTCAGCATTACGTCTGGGGTTTTTAGCCGTGTAGTTCTCGATACTCATGATGTAGCTGGCTCCAAGCTCTCGAAATTGTTCGCACACCATATCAGTGTTTATGTTTTTACATTGTGTAAGCACAATAAGGGGAAAGATGCCTGTTGGAACAGAGAGAACAATTTATTAGTCATACTGAAAAATCTCAAATTAAAAAAATCTGGGCTGGAATTTCTGGCACATATTGTCTATTTTGTGTTAGTATTGTAGAGCTCTGAAGTAGGAATGAAAGACGTAGCACTGAAAATAACAATGATTGGTGAAAAATAGGAGAAGTGCAGAAGCGTGAGAGACTCAGACATTTTTTTTCCATTAATCAGTGAATTTGTGGCATGTTTCACAATTTTATGGGCTAAAATTTGCAAGTTTTTTAACAATTCACCACAAGTCGGTTTTTAGTGTATAGATCTCTTAGTTTAGTTCTTCATTGTAGGATATTGATAATTTTTCGATGAAATAAGAACATAATACAGGCATAGTAAAGGCTTGTTGCTGTCAAATTATTTGTGATTTTTTTTTTTTGTGAATTTCTTTTTATTCAAAACTTTCAATTTTTTTTTTATGCAACCGTCGATGTGGACACACAGGTCCAGCATTGTTCCGTATCATTGAATACTGTGATAAATAGTGGTCTCAAGAATTAACAGTGGTGGCATGCAAGTGACCATGAAACAACAAATAACATTTCTCCATTGGACTCGCAGGTCTTATAGCGTGTATGGTCAGATTGGCAGTTCCCCTTAGTATTTAGTTATTATAACCTTTCTGGGTCTCCTATTGTGGCGGGGATGGTTCATAGCTTACTTTATAACTGTTAGTGTGTTACCCCCTACCGAGAGGAGAAAGTTGGGGTGGTTTTCATGTCCTACTGGTTCGGGCATAAGGTCTTCGCTGGCGGTGGGGTTGTTGTCTGCTTGTCTGGTATGAGTGGTGGTTGTCTACTCTGTCGTGGTCTTAACTGCCAGCTGACTCTTATACCTTTGTGGGTGATGTGTTGTCCCCGCCTCCCCTTTAAATTATTTGTGATTTTAGTTTCAAACTCTCGATATGACCATTAAGGTTAAGAAAAATGAAGTTACACACTATAGGGTCAGGCATTCAAAGTCAAGTTTCAGATTTAAGACCAAAATCTTTCAAAATTTGAATAAGCATATAATGGAAAACAAATGTCATACAATACAAAAGATATGTAACAGACAAGAAGGTTTTAGATGAAAATAGTTACAGAACTAGAATACTGTTTGGAATGCCACATTACCCATAATGCACTAGGCTTAAAACGTACTACTTTTGTGGTGGCCCAAGACAGTACTTGTTGAGGTTTGTAAATATTCTGACTCCCATTACCCCTCTTCCAATTAATTTTGTAATATAATTTTCTCTTTTACCTGTAATGCGGCAGGCTTCTCTGATAAAAGGGCTAATTTCATCTGGTCTGCGTTTTGTAAAATCATATTTTGCGCTGTTATAGTGGAGAGCGAAAATAATAGGGGGAGATGGAGGGAGAGAGATAAAGAATATTAGTCACATATTCAAACATTTTGCTATATTTTAGAAAAGTCAAGGTGCATCAACGGCTCTGCTTTGTTTTTATCCCCACTGAAACAGAACAAAGACATGCCTAAATCTTGAACTGTTAGTGTCCCTTAATGACTGTTTTTGGACCCTCTGCTGTAGTATACTATGCAATGAGAGCCCATGATGGCTGTTAGAATGCTGTCAAAATGTTTGACCTACAAAAGTTGCTGTAGATTTTGAAAAAGGGGACCTGCAGGGATGCAGAGGATCAAAATGGACCTCTAACAGAGAAATTTGTTTCTCTAGAAGGTAAAATCCAGCATGGGAGCAGTTGACAAGTTAAGTCGACTTAACAGACTTACTTTAATTTAGCATTCCTTTGTGGTGCCCTAATGTTTATCACATTTGCCATTATTTATGTTTCTTTGTTTTGTAAAATTCAGCATAATATTGATTATAAGCATCTCTTTGCAATCCCACATTTGGGCCAAGGGCCAAGCCTTGTAGACTCTTCTAGAACATAGAAACATAGAAACATAGAATGTGACGGCAGATAAGAACCATTCGGCCCATCTAGTCTGCCCAATTTTCTAAATACTTTCATTAGTCCCTGGCCTTATCTTATAGTTAGGATAGCCTTATGCCTATCCCACGCATGCTTAAACTCCTTTACTGTGTTAACCTCTACCATTTCAGCTGGAAGGCTATTCCATGCATCCACTACCCTCTCAGTAAAGTAATACTTCCTGATATTATTTTTAAACCTTTGTCCCTCTAATTTAAGACTATGTCCTCTTGTTGTGGTAGTTTTTCTTCTTTTAAATATAGTCTCCTCCTTTACTGTGTTGATTCCCTTTATATATTTAAATGTTTCTATCATATCCCCCCTGTCTCGTCTTTCCTCCAAGCTATACATGTTAAGATCCTTTAACCTTTCCTGGTAAGTTTTATCCCGCAATCCATGAACCAGTTTAGTAGCCCTTCTCTGAACCCTCTCTAAGGTATCAATATCCTTCTGAAGATACGGTCTCCAGTACTGTGTACAATACTCCAAGTGAGGTCTCACCAGTGTTCTGTACAATGGCATGAGCACTTCCCTCTTTCTACTGCTAATACCTCTCCCTATACAACCAAGCATTCTGCTAGCATTTCCTGCTGCTCTATTACATTGTCTGCCTACCTTTAAGTCATCAAAAATAATCACCTCTAAACCCCTTTCCTCAGATGTTGAGGTTAGGACTCTATCAAATTTCCTATACTCTGCCCTTGGGTTTTTATATCCAAGATGCATTATCTTGCACTTATCCACATTAAATGTCAGTTGCCACAATTCTGACCATGTTTACCTAAATCATTTGTCATTTGGCTTATCCCTCCTGGAACATCAACCCTGTTACATATCTTAGTATCATCATTATACCTTTATCAGCTATATATATCTACTTTGTAGGCATACCTATAACATATAAAATGAACCATATCCTTGTGGGCCTATCTACAAGACTAATACGTTAAACCAAATTCTTGCAGACATATCTGGAACACATGTATTGTACCATTCTACTGTAGATGCACCTAGAACATTAGGACATTGGGCTATTCCCTTAAGACTTATCAAATCAACTGAAAGATATTCATGCAGGTATAATGCATATTATAATCTTAATTACCTATACACAAATACGGGCACAATGATCTCCGTGTGGCGCCTATCAATTCTGTTTCGAAGTGTTTCAAAAGTGTTTTCCAGACCGTTTTCCCATTCCACGTCCCCATGACATCGTAGGTGTGCTGTACAACATAAGTTA